TGTCAATAAAGTAAATTTAATTCTCCAGCTTATATAATCCAGCTCGTAGTGTATCCTTAGCTGATGCGAAAACAATTGACAATTACCGCTTTTGTTCTTGTCCGCCGATTTACTCATGTCGATCATAAAACGCTATCTAACGCTGCAATAATCATCTCGCTATTTTATTAGAAAAAAAAACATGTTATACGAGTAATGCTTTTTGCACCTTCATGTAGAAAATAGTAAAAAAAAAAATGTTAAACCATTGTACGATACTCTAACTTAGAAACCTACAACCATAGCTATCCTTAGAACTAGATGTGCACCACTTAGCATACAGATATACGTACGGATTACGACAAGCAAAAATAGAAATGAACCGTATGATTAAAGGTACCATACAAAATACTCTGAAAGTACTCGTTGTTCCTCAAGCAAAAACCTATACTAATAGTTCCACCGGTATTAGTAAGGAACAGGTTGCTAATTTAGCGTACCGCGTAAGGTAGACGGGCTGTCGAGGACAGCTGCGCCACCTAACAGAATTTTTTTGCTCAATACAGATTAAATTAAAGCAGAATAGCACGAGCTCTGAGCATCAGTCGGAGAAGATTGCCTGGAATCATCTTCCCGTGTTGTTCTAGCGTCTGTGAAGATATATATATATATATCTCCGCCAGTGCGTGAATGTTTCTACACCAAAAGCGTAATCTACTTGATGTCTGTCCGCTTACTCGCATCCGTTGCTTCTCATTCACTCAGTGAATGCGCTTAAGCAGCTCGAGCAGTTTTATGAAGCCAGTGACACAATAAAAGCTTGTCCAGATAGTTCATTAGAACACCGATCCGATCGGAAGAAGCCGGTTTTTTTTTTCGCCTGCGTTGTAATTTACAACTACCTGGTCAGCCTCTTTGCTGCTCTATTCAACGCTGTTACCTATACCACAGCAGTTTCTAATAAGGCCATTTTCAGTTAAAGATACTGATCTGGGACCTAACTGTGCTTGCATGTCTGCGTGTGTCAATTTTTTTGTCACTCTACAGAGCATTTTCACAACTTGAAAATTTATCAACTGTACAGGGAAAAAAAAAATAGGTAAATACTTCGTTAAACAAGGACGAACCAACAGCCTTCGCTCCCGAAAATGGTATACCATGAACATTTCGAAGTGTCGCGGAGAGGACTTAGGTCGTAGAGTTTTAAGGAGGGCCGGAAAATCAACGGGCCACGCACCGTGTTTCTGTGTCGACGATGAGATTAACAACGTCATCAGTATTACTTTTTTTTTTTTTTTTTTTTTTAATTTAATTACGTAAGTATCGCTTTCTATCCAGCTATCTAAATATGAAGGACATTGTGAATTGAGCTAGTCAGTTGCAGTACGTTGCATAAGCTATAACTGGAAAAAGTGACAGTTAATTGATCGTATTCAATTCCCTGTAGTATTTTTAATTCAGACCTTCGCCCTTGTTCGCGTCTATTGTGTCTGAGCGTTTTTCCTTTTTTGCCAACAAAAAACATTGATTAAAATATATTTAAACACCGAGATGTTTTAGTTTACTATAAAATAGGCCAAAAATAAAAAGTTTTTGAGTTTTGTTAAAAACAAAAACTTCTTGTTGACTAGATAATATAATAATATTGAAAGCGGTAGAATGGAACCGCACGAATTCGTATTGCCCGCCAAACTTACCCAATCATAACAATGGATGAAGCCATTCTGTGTGTTCCAAAACAATATAGCCCTGAAAGCATCATATAACACAGTAACGTATTAAATCGAAGCTGTTACGCTAGCAGATAGCAAAAGCACGACACCGGATATCATAAAATACGTTGCTAGTAAAACGAAAACGTTAAAAATGCCAATGTTTCGTATTTGTGTACGGACTGATTATCTCGAAACGATAGGCTATCAATAGGAATAAGACTGTAGTCATAGCATAAGACTCTTCTCAATGTGATCGTTCTTAAGCTTGTTATCTGGTGGTAATGAGACAAGACTGATTAAGAGCAAACTAAAAGGCGTTCTTTTTCCCTGTTTACTTTAAATGTAACCAGCGTCTACGTACAGCTTCCAACTGTCTGCGTAACCGATTCTGTTTATCATCGCATTAAGACGACCGTTGGTATTTAGTCAGTATGGAGCCTTCGTTTTCTGACTTTCGTTGTCGGCCACATAAGCGTATCTGAAGATTACTTGGCTCAAAGTATCGCTATTGTTCTACATATAGTGAATATTAGGCTTTAGAAGGTCTTTAGCATAGATAATGCCCACACGAATTCGGGTACAATCGTTCGAATGTTTAGAAATACGAAAATGCATTGTGCTCCGTGATGTCATTACATCAGAGATCTATATATATATATATATATATTTTTTTTTTTCTTTATTTTCTTCTCAATTCTCATCATATCCTCATCAATCATATTTGCTAGGGCTAAACAGCGACAAATTGTATTGAAACAATCACGTCTTCGTGTAAACTATAGAAATCATAAACAGGGAAAAATCGCTAAACGTGGATAAACAAGGTACGAATGTTGGTTTTAAATTTGGACTTTGATGAATTTTTTTCCAGTCAGATTTGTCAGCATACTCTAAAAATATAATGTTTTGAATTATTTAATCTTATTGATTAATAGTATTACAAAGAACTAAGACGCATTGGATTACTATTCGTTTCTTGTGTTCTTAATGCAGTTTCAGGAACATTCAAAATTTACCCTTACGCTCAATAACGCAAAGAGCATTGTTCTAGATGAGATAATTTACACAGTTTCAACATTTAAATAGGCTTATAACTCGTTGCTTATGCCCATAAGCCTTATCATCATTGCACAAAAGATTATTGTCAACTTCCTTTCAATACAATAATAGCTTGACGACGTAGAAAATCCTCGGTATACCATTTCATTGTATGATATACGTTTACAGTGTACATTGGTTACCAACAACAATATATCGTCCGCTCGACCAGCGTATAGACGATTGCTGCCTTGTCACAAGCAGCGCAGGAGGGTCTCTGTGATCCAATGCAAAATGTCACTACTTCTATCATATGCCATGGATGTTGGACTAATCCAAATATGACAACAAATGTATAATGCTACAGTTGATGGTAATTGTGATCTGATAATTTATGCGAAATTTTCAAACGTCCGCGGTAGCTGCTGGTGCCCCCACTACCGTTATCCAGCTCCACCGAAAGTGACATGGCTACCCGATGGCCAAGGTATTATAGCTTTCATCAGCCTTGTCATCAAGCCGCACACGAGCGCGTGTGCGCATCGCTTTAGCCACTTCTGTTCGGATCTATCACGTAGCGTCTGACCAATGAAAGTCAACCCGAGGGCTCAGACTCTTCTCGCCGAAATGCTCAACGGCATACGCCGTAGCAATTATGCGCTAGAGGGGATCGTCAACGGAACTGCGGTTATTTTGTCATAACTCTCCGTCAACGGTTAGTTATGTAGCCACGATTTTCTAAAATGATTTCGTCTGCAGAGAGACACGAACGATTTCCCCGTTAAAAAAAATATTTGCATTATGTGACGTCGGTCCAACTAGCTCACTGTAATCGTATTCGGTACGCCTTTTCCCAGTCTATTGTCAGATACACTCTGGTATTCTTATCATGTAAAGTAAGAGATTTGGTTGATGCACGACATCACTGAAAACGTAAATTCGCTTTTGGTAAATCTCTTAAATCTGGACTTTCCGTGGGCGTTACAATAAAATGAGATGCACGCCTCGTGCGAAATTATTATAAGGCTGAATATCATCGTTGTGCACAACTAACAAATGTTAATGAAGGTCTGTTAAAAAAAGCTTCGACAGCGTTCTAGCTGGTCTCGGATCGATAATAGGCCCGATATGTATTCCGGTTGACTAAGGAAGAAACAGAAACTAGTTAATGTTTAAACTTAACAGCATCAAAGACGAGCGTTCTCCACCTTGCACCGTGCTTTACCTCTATAAATTACTCCCCCGTAGTAATTTAAAATTTTCGTATCATATGGTCACAAAAAGGCATTGGGACCTTAATTATGAAACTTATTTATAAGCTTTATTTTAACCAACTTTTCATTCATCAAATTAAATTGCTCTTTCGTATACAAATACTTTAGAAGCTAGAGGGCTTGTTATAGCATTGCGTATTGGGTAAAAGCGAGCCGTAGGCAAGCCTTCGCGCAGAACAGGACGTCCTTAAAAGTCAATATAAATGATACATCACTTCAGATTTTTCAAGCAATCAATTATATATATATATATATATATATCAATCTGGCAGCAGCGTAGGTACTACATGGTGTGTAAGAAATAAACGAAACATTTCATAAAGCTGGTGGCTGTTACTCTGAGGTACAAAAGAGCCTTTTTACAGTTAATGCCATATTAAGTTAACTTTAATAAATGACTATTGAGCAAAAACATAGTATCAGGGGTAAGGTGCTCAACTTAAATTTAAGTTTAGAGTAGATATTAGACCCAATTAAATCGGGCTCGTAGACTAATTTCGTACTGTTAGACGTCCTACGTTTACTTAATGCTCGAGTTCATGTCATTTCAAAACTTACATAGAGCTCGCGCACTCTATATTTCTTCACATTTCCACTTCTATCGGTTAATAAAAATGTTATTGCTTGATTCTTGTTTATACACTACAAGATACTCATGCCTCGCTTAGCTTCTATGACGCTCGCCTTAGTCATTTGCCCTTTACGTGCTAGAGCTCTCTCGCTGTGTTAGAACTGCTATGACCTGTTCTCCTCGTCTGTCTATTGCCCTTAAACGCATCAATAGTAATCATATTCAGCGATCCCAGTATAAAACTCATTTACACTGACTGCTATCTACCGCCTCCCCTCCCGCCCCTCTCGCTAACTGAACTGTTATTCATAAACGTATAAACAATTTCGCGCCAGCGACTCGGTGCTGATAATCCAAAAGCCAATTCAACAGCTCCCGTCATCGTCCGCCAATGCTGAAGTGTTTTGTAAACGCTTGTAATACTAAGAAATATAATCTCACTAAACGTACATATAATATAGTGGGCGCCGTATTTTTCCATTTTATAAATAGGGATGTAAAGAACGTTGATGCCGGAGAAAGATTAAAGTTAAATGCAGTATGCCTACATCCCTCTTTTAGCCCCATTTCTTCGCTGTCGTTCGATGGCTCGATTAGCGCACGATGCAATGTGAGTTGCAAGATGCTCGTTTGAGTGATAGGTTTCTTCCAACTCGGTTCTGTTGTTTTCCTCGTCGTTGATTACCTGTCTCTTAATTTTGACTGTTCTTGCTGTTCTATTCAATGGTGCCTCACGTCTTCACTGGATATTCATCTCTAGCCAGTGAACCGGTCAGGGACAATCTGTCGACCGAATTCGTCGGCCAACGATCCCACGTACTCCGGTGTGTACTTAGATCGATGATCTTCTATTCTCCGTAGAAATTACTGACAAATAGTGAAATCTCATCGTTTCCAGTGTTATGATGCCGAAGTATTGAGAGGTTGTTTTCGCGAGACCAGCGACGACTGACGAGCCATGCGATGCTACAGTGAGTAGAAACGTATTTAGCATATTGGCTAGTGACGCCCCATAATCCCCTGAACAGAATTGAGAGTTTCTAGCATTAAATGTATTTTAGTTAAGCTTTGCAAATATCATACGTCGCAATAGTATGCGAAAGTAACCGGGTTCGGGTTCCACGTTAATATTTTGAGAAAAATCTATGTGACTTACGTATTACGTGATAACACAACAGCTCAGCGAATATGGTTTGTTTGTTCGATATTGCCCGATAATCCTAAGGCGAATTAGAACCTGTCGAGAAGCGATATCTACCTGCCACGACTATTCTTCTAACTTTGTTAACTTTACGTTGTCTATCACCTTATTAAAAAGATCTCGTGCTTGTAAATTACTTCAATGCATCCTAAACTTCGCGTTTTGTTGTTCAGCTGCCTTCGCCAAAATGCTATAGTTAAGCGTGCGGAATCTGCGCGGAAAGCTGCGTTGATATCCCTATGGCCGAACAGTTCGCAGATACTTATCGCCGCATATATTCCGTGTTGACAACGATCCTTACCTAGCTGCCCGTGCATACCTGTTATATCTGCTACGGAATATATGGAAATAGCCTTTATGCAACCGTTGTGTAAATAACGGAATATATCAGAGAAAATGAACTGGGTATTTTTGCACGGGAACTTCACTTCGTATAATTACGCCAAACTTTTTAATATGGTAACAACAGAAACACTGGAGGTATGTCGTCTTCTATATTGAGTTTCTTAATGAGCCACAGAATGGCTTGTTCGTAAAAAAAATAGGCGGCACGATGTTGTAACTTTATTCTAAATGAGATGATTTTGTGTGAAAGGTGTTCGCTGAAATGGCGAAAATCGACTGTTACATGAAAAAAAAATATATACATTAATGAGGCTGTACTTTTTGAAATTTAAGTAAAGCTCGATACATTAGTTTCCATGGTAGAAGTACGACTCGGACTAGTCTATGAGACTAATTTGAAAGATTTGTCGGATGACCTAAAGATACTTCTAGGGAGCAACGGGAGGCATTATATCCATTGCAATTTTGCGCGCATCTAGAGCAGACGCGGATCAGATGCGGACGAATTTGTATTGGCTCGTGAAAAGCTAGCTTCCTTTAGAGTCTGTCGTAGAATTCATGCATGGCAAAACGAGTTACGAGGTGCCTGTTTAGCCGGTTCGTCCTTTTCCAGTAGTTGTTCCTCACCGCATCCAATGCAAAGAGGCGCCCGTCAATCTTCGCAAATTTTTGCTCTCAGTTTGTAAGGTTCGTTTCGAAGGCTTTTGTTGGGAGCTTAGTAAAGTGATGACGTGGGATCCTCAGACAGGATACACAAGTCGGCTAGGAACTACACAGGAAGATTTCAGATCGTTATGTATAGTACTAGTGTTTTGTTGAAGAAAGAGGCCTTGGCCCAATTTAATTGTTCGAGATCCTTCGCAGTAAGGTCCAGATTTCCAGGTGACGCGTACTCTCCACATTGCGATCGGAGCTACTTTGAGGTCAAAGAAGTTGAGGACGGTTGCAAGGGGCAAGCGACGGGGCGACTTGACGCTACCTTCTCGTATCTTTCGGACGCGCGCAGTGAAACTTTTACCGTTCACGGATAAGGGCAACCTCAAGTATGGAAATCGGTTAACAGACCAAGAAGTAGCCTGACGACATATAAGATGTCAGTAGCCGTCTCCCCTTCTAAATTTTATCGTCTCCACCTAATTTGGTTGCAAATCTGTGACTGTCGCGTGGATCCGGGCTTGAACTCGTTGCATTTAGAACTAATCGGGTCCGTGTATCGCTAAGCTATTCGGGTACGTTATTTCCTCGGCTTCCTTATTTGATCAAAGCGGCCCTTCAATGGAAAATAAGGGTAAGTTTAGTTTGTTCAGCCCAGCCAGTGGTCTGCGTAAAGGGCCATAATCCGGTTACTCCACGTTGTCCATGGTTATTGTGTTTTCCTGTAGAATCGCAGCGTAAGTTCAGCACATTCATAGGAACATCCACTTCGGCCAGCCTGAAGATAACCTTATCCCTGGACGCCCATCCGAAGACTGCTTTAAAGTCAACGAGTACCGCGTATAACGGATTGAGCGGTGCTCGTTTCCAGTACGAATTTGACATCAGTCAATAAGTCTCCAGTTCTGTAGAGAGATCTTTCCAGAAACTATGTTGCTTCGTTGAAATAGCGTGTACACCTTCTAACTAGCTATTAAATCACCTCGTCACCAAACTACGAAGCAGTTTATAAAAAAAGATTTTTATCCGCGATCCCCCGCCATGACGACGGTGCAGTTGGGTCGCCTTCCCCTTTAAAGGTCACTAACCATGCTATGTAAATGTTTATTAAATAATGACGCCCAGCGCGATACTAGAGCGGCGGCGCATTTAAGATGCTTAGGCCCCTGTCTGGACCGAAGTCTTTCTTATTCGGTAGGCTCTCGAAACCTTGTATTAGTTCGCGCACTCTGAAACCTAGTAAAGAGTATCGTGTTGTATTGACATCCCACTTCCCAGGCTGCCGAAAAAAAGGACACCGCGCGTAGTATCGTACCCCTTGACGCGAGCATATCCAAGTGATTCATGAACGATGAGGAGCTAATCGGGCAAGCCGCCAGGTTATCGTGACATGTTAGCCATTTGTATGGTCAACGTTCTGTATCGGTAATCAAACGCCTTTCAAAGTATTGTTACCTTCGTGATGCACAAGATTTTCGACAGATCATCTTAAACATAGAAGCTAAAGACAGAGGGTAGAACTCGGGCTCTACTTTGGCCATAAATTTGAAGGTCATCTAAGCCCTTCGCGCAAGGCCTGATCCATGCTTCCAGGGGGCGGACGGAAAGGCTGCACTTTATACTAGAGAATTTCAACTAGATGCTGCGTATAAGTTTCGCCATTCACCATATTAGGTACAGAACCTCCTGGGTGCATTCCAGGGTATGGATGTTGATTCTGAATCAGCCGGCTGAACATAGGCTGCTATGAGGCTTAGTCGCTGATTGCGCAAAGCAACGACATCTTTCCTCACTAGGCAGGACGTGAGAGTGCCTACGTTATCATTGTAGGAAAGGGAGATGTCTCAATTAGGGCAGCTTGGTCTGTTACTCTTATTGCAGAAAGATCCACGTACGTAGAGACGCAGTAAGTTAAAAGGTCTAGTTGCTTAAACTTCTGTTTAGTTTATATTATCTTATATTCTCTAGCGCTTCCGGGGAGAGGAGCGCGAGAGTTGTAGCCCTTTCACGCTGCGCTGTGTAATTTTTCAAGTCCACTCAAGATACGGTCTCTCTGCAAGCATCGTGATCAGCTTCGTAAGTGTGTTCGATGATTCAAGATGCCGCGTATTGGGGTCGGTCTCTAGTCGTTAATGCTGCCAAAACCTGCTTCACTTCTGAAGTAAGCAAAACCGATTACTCGTATTCCAACTGCCCGGTTTCAACCGTCTTTCCCATCAGCGGTTCTTTAACAGTGGCTTCGCTTGACAGTGACTCATTCTTTAAAAGCTGAGTTGGCTCCTAAAACGCTTGCTTGTGGTGGAGCAGTAGTTGGGTTCGTTGTTGTCATTACCTGCTCTTGAGTAAATATCTTCTAGTTTCTGCCTATTGTGATCGTCAAGATTCTCATACTTTAGTCAAAAGCTTTACTATCCTAGCAATGTTGCTGAAAGCCTTCCCGGTCATTTAATCTATCTAGCCGTATTCTGTATTCTTGATTATGGAGAACGGAAAAACAATCTTGTATTTCGTTGTCTTGCTTTTCTCGCAATAATATCTTTACAGTTGTAGCCGAAAAGATGCATGAAAAGCACGCGTATTTCTCACGCGGGTCACGAGGCAATTAGCGTACCTGAAAGACTATCTTGCATGCTCACATATCTGTTTTTAAACTACATGCGTTTATGGCCCATCGATGTTGTTAATGTACTTGTCTGTTTCTAAATAGGGCAGTGTCCGTGTCTATTATCCGCCGCGTTGCGCGAACGGCCACGGATGTTTAGTTGAGATGAATCTCTCAGCGCGGGGCAAGCGGCTGTACAATACTGTCACGCACCATCAGTGTTATTTTGCGTCACGGAAAGGTCGGCCCGACCTAACGTCTTTCGGAGACGTTTTGCACTTCACGGTCAACCACCATTACATGTACCATGCTTCCGCTTTACTCCTGAAAAACTTGCTTTTCCAGTTCCATTCCGACCATTTACTCCTACCCGAACTGTACCTAACTGTTGTTATATTGCTTTTCACTCTTCGAATTTGAAAAATAACTATATAAACGTTCTCACCAGGTCAATCAGCATATTTTCGAAAAAGGGAGCCGTTTGCTCATAACTCCTGCAGTTTGATATTCGCTATTTTCGATATCACGATATTCACAAGATGAAAGCCGTTTAATGGAGACTTAATGTGCCTAAGGAGCTTCAGCAAGAGCTTCTAAAATGCACACAACGCGAAGAGCACATGCACACGCACACATAAATATGTCGGACAGCAGTCAGTTGACAAGTAGCACATTAAAAATTATTGTGTATAAATATTGAGACTTCACACTTGACAAAAAAAGGGTTAGTGCCTTCATTGTATAGGACAACTGGCATACAACATTATGTTACAGATAGCATCTCTTTGTTTGTCTCTTGCTACCAACACAGGGTTTATTGAAAAAAATTAAGACATAAATTCTTATGAAAATCACTGGAGTAGAACGTTTGCCATTTCTAATTTCATCGCAAAGATGTACTTCGCCTTTCTCTGCTTTATTATGTTCATAGTTCCCACTGTATAACTACATTTGAAATATTGGACTCGACTAACACATAATAGTATCCAATCTTCAGCAGCTTAGCAAGCGTAACGTCTCACTTTTTGTTCCCATTATCCGGTACCTATTTTTATCTACACTTTCATCTTTCCCTGGGGATGACTGCTTTATAAGCATTGGCATTCACGGTAGTGATTAAAGTGGCTAAAAGTTCTATGCGAAATTTACTTTTTTCGTTTAGGGATGTTTGTAGCAACGTTCTCATTTGATCCGACCTCTGCCCCCCACTTACCATGTACCATGACCAGTTACCCTCCAGTACTAACGCACTAGCTCTAAAAGTGTTACATTCGGATACGTTTTAGATTTGATCTGGTACACCTACGAAGACGCGGAGGTTTGCTGATACGTTTCACGGTTCCCACGTGTCCAATGAAGATGTAACCTGGGGCATCGCCTTCAAATGGCGGCAATATTGCGTGTCGACCGTCGACACTAAACAAGAGGTCACTGAAAATCATTCAACATGAATCCTATAGACGATATTCTTGCACAAAAGAAATAAATCTAGGGAAGTTATAATTAGCGGAGCATATTGATCGCACTAGTTAACTTTCCGAAGGTGCCTAGCCGGAGCTTGTGCCCTATTATTCAACCACCTTACAGCCTTTGTTCTGCTAATCGCGTCACGGTCTACGCAAAAGGGTTCCATTATCCATTGCGCGAAGATGTGCCTTTGTATTCGTACTGCATGTTTACTATTACTGGAAAATAAAAGTCATCCATAATAACCAGGCAGAGGATCGCAGACCCACAGAATTAACTAAAAGCGTTTTCTCCATTGATGTCGATCAACTATACCACTGATACATAATATAACTGTTCATAGCTTGCATTACCTTTTGCATTATTCATACGCTGCGTCTGTTGTCTGCTTCGAAGGTACGCGTTAACCACGTCCAGTACTATTCGATCGTAAGCGCCAAAGCCGATAGCGGCGAAACCGAAATACGAGGGATCGTTATCAGATTTATCATCATGGTTCCGACAAAATGCCTCAAGCATCTCAACGAGACGTTCGTGCAACGGAATAGCGAAAGCGGAATGGTTTGTAGATTTTTCTATTATGCAGGTGACGCTAGGCAACGCGCAGGCCTTTTTTTCGTAAAAAAAAATATATATATTTCGAACAATTTCAACATACGCGCGGAGTCCTTTTTTTTATCCATAATAGAAAAAAGTCCGACTCGTTTTTTCCGCTATTCCATGCTACAAATGCATCAATATGTTATATTTTGGCCGCTACTGTTATTACGCAAAACAACAGCAACGATGATAAGATCTTCTTTTTATGGTGATATGGTTTGCATCGAGTATTTATGTTTATGTTGTTACTTACGTCAGTAATTTTTGGGTGTAGGAACCGAGTTTCTACGAGCCTAACGATATACGTGGCTGCTTTAAGTGTGCGAGGGAAATTAAGATATACCATGCTATTCGTCGGACCTCGCCGCCATCTTTAGGTCATCTGGTAGGTCTCTCTGTGAACTATGTATGTATGTATGAAGTATCTAACTACTACCAGCAAAAGTTTACAGACGAAACTTCATTGACTGATAATTAATAGGATAGCTATTATTTTCGCTTCTGTTAGATGCGCTGCGAGTAAAATTCCCTCAATTAAAGTGTCTTATTTTCTAGTATCAAGGTGGCCGAGCGAGCAATAAAGAAATGAATAAGCTTCTATGCCCTTAATTGTATCATATAAAACTATATGTCTCCTCATTCATTGAGAAAGCAGGGTGGTCTCTCGCGATTTTTCGAACGGTTGGATTGAAACCAAAGGGTAAATTATTTTTTTTTACCAGACGGTTAAAAAAGCGTGCAAATGTTTTGGGTGAAACTACCTAGTTAAAAATATGCCCCTATTCGATCGTATAAGTAAATATTAAATGAAATACGCCAAAAAAATTTATATATATATCAAGTTTGTCCAAGTGCAACGATTGCTGCGGCTAATTGAGTAGTTACCAGAATTTTCAACGTTTTAGCGGTATTTTTAGAAATTTAGCGGTACCTTTTTTGCCTCTCAATATTACGCATACGTCACATACATTCGTCTTTTGTCCGCGACTAAACCGCAAGTAAAAACAGCAATAGGAAAAGCAATAGCCGGGATAATCCCTTTTCTATTAGATCTTTTTAGGTGTCCTATAGATGTTACCCAAATATTTTTAACAGAATAGTATCACGTAAGCAATTATCAAATGGAGATTATGCAGCCATCTTTAACTTCATTAAAAATCAATTTTTTTAATTGGATCTAATTAATTGCGTGTACATTATACTACGTATAGCATATGGACTTAAACAAGCGTTGACGAAATACGTGACAAATAACTTTTGAAACTTAGGAAGTACGAAAGGGTGCACGATCGCTTGTGCCCTTACATCACAGACTGCCATGGACCAGTGCCGTTATAGAAACTAGACTCACAAGCAGTTATTACTACATTGTTAAAGAGAATCTGCCTGTATATAACGAAAAGAGGAACTATCATGCAATGTCATGGGTAACAATCATTGCAACCACAATTAGAACTGCTGGATTTTTTTTTCTCGATTTTGCGTTTACGTATCCGGCATTTCAAAAACCGATAAAATGTAATGCAATACATGCTCGATGCAGCCACATTTAGTTGCCAGCCATATTGATTAACTTACAAGATTTGTAAATTAAGTATTATACTTGTATAAATATCCGTTAGTTCGACGATGAATAAGGTAGCGTCACTTCGTATCCGGGCTGCTAACCAGCTTGGCCTTAGATCAATTGTCAATACAGTAATAAATATATACTAATTCTGATGTATGAAGCGAAAAACGTGATAGGCCGCGCTTGTCCTAACGTTTTGTTTGACCTACCTGAGTAGACCATTAATTGGAATATAGATACATGAAGGGAAGGAAAAAGGCACATGACAAGTTGACATATGTTAAAGCGGCAAGATTAAACTACTGATATATACAAGGAGAGATAGAGCTGCTTTTTGTCATGACGAAGAAAATACGTCAGCAAAGTATGAAAAATTGGATGAAACTTTCAATCGGTACGCGCTATTTACACAGGTTTTTAGGGGGCTATAGATCGATTGTGTTACGTAAATGCACAGTTTATATATATAATTCTAATTAGTCTGGAGGAACGGTGCTGACTATGGGATGTGGAGTGGAAAATTACAGCATGAAGCCAGTTGTCGAAGTAATGTCACTAAGCGATGTTTCCGTTAGATTTCATGGCCGCAGCTGATAAGCCCGCTTACAGTCCTGCTGAAAGCGTTTTTTGAATAAGGCGAATATTCTGGATACACGAGTGCGTGATAATAATAGGTTCTTGTCAAGATAGGGTTATAAACAAGGATGTTTCTTCTCGGTGATCGCATCCTCCACGTCGTCTGCGGTCGAGCGTTAAGCAGTGCTTGTAAAGTAAACCCTTAATGCGTTTGTCTATTCTGTGTTCCGGAACGTTTGTCTCTTCCTGAAAACATGTGCTCCTTTATAATTTGCGCAGGCATCACCGAAATGTATCGCTAATTAGCCAAAATCTGAGGACAGTGTAGTTCGATTAGGAAGTTACTTGCCAGTGTAAAAGAACCGCATAAAATAAAAGTTTCGTTTATCCTAAAAGTCCTCATTCCAGTGAGAACAGTCAAGTTTTCAAATCAGTTATAATTTGCGATTTAAATCAAAGTGCTTCAACTGCATCCGCAATGAAGTTAGGAGGGGGGGCAAAGTTTATTAAAGTTCATACGCTATTTACGGCGTTTATAAACTGTAGTCGCACGCATTCAGAGCAGATGACGCCAATAGTTCTATGAATTTTCACCGACTTTGCTCGTGCCTGCAAAACTCGTCCGGCGATATGCAAAACTCGGTCAGACGGATGGCCGTTTGCGTTTGACATTGTGGTGCTCGTACAATTCGCTATCTTCCAAACTCGATTTGACAGCAGAACGCGCGTCAAATCAAAAGTACAAAACATTTTTCTAAATTCTTATAGAATCTTCCATCGATTCTGCCCGAACCCCCCGGGCCAACTGCGAAATTGCAGGATGCCGGAGTGCTATTTCTTACCAGATGACGTAATAAGGATTTCAGAGTAAGCTAATGCATTAACTTCTGCGTTGGTAAGACGGACATTGGCAAAAAAGTTAATTTGCTAAGTATGTGTTAGCAATGTTTAGCTATTGATTTTCAACGAGTGTTTTGTCGGCACGGAAATTACAATCTTACTACAAGTCTGTGTCATCTGTCACTAGGCGACATGGAAAAATAGTTAAGATCTAGAATAAGTTCGTCATCATTCCCTGATACTTTGTTCACCAGATAGCTATAGTGGTCAATTTTAGGTCAGGACCGATTGGCAACGATGTGTTGAGAATTTTTACCTTTAAAGATTCGTTAAATTGGATTAATATGTCCGCCATTCAATGGTGGTTAGATGTCACATCTCGGGTACGTTCTCAATTATCAATGGAGTTTTTTGCCGCATAAAGTCAAATAGATCTACGCCTTAGGCAAATAAGGCCGTTACTACAAGTAGGAACAAGGATTTTGACAACTTAACTTATTATCATATATATATATATATATAATTAAAACGATAACTGTGTTTACGCGTCTAAAGTTATAAAAACGTAACTTAGATGACCATTGCGTGAGCAACTAATAGTACGATCATTTATTTCGTGGTTGTATTCATCTGTATAAAATTGGGAAACGAGATCATCATGATGCTTTTACGTAAAATCGTTATAGTGATATACGCTTAGCGCCGTGCTCGTATGGCTTGATTTGTAGCTGTTATATAAGAACAATAATAATTTGCTTGTCTGATTAGGGACGCTTAGTTGTTTTAATCGAGCAGACACAGACGATTTGTTTCGTACGAATAGCAGCTAACCGGCCATTTAAGATATGAATTTAATTAACTTTTTTCTCTAGTCAGCTCTATCTGCCATGCGTCAAAGGAAACATGGTGGAACGTACGTTTCAAGTATGTAAATTATCCGATCTAGGAATTGGACTATGTTCCCAGACAAACGATACTGATATAAATAGCACAAGATAGACACGTACGAAGAACGCTTAAGAGTTCACTGCTTGAGATAGGGTAGGTAATTAACCAACACGCTCCGTCGTTGCTATTTCGTATAGTGTACATAAAAACACGTAAAACAAACTTGTAAAGAAAAAATATGTTCTTTAGCTGAATCCCACAAGGCCATGTGAATTCACCATTCTGGTCGTAGGTTTTGAGATTATAGGCTTGAACCCTTTGTTTGTTTTTCTTTAACACGCTGTAAATGTGTGTGTGTGTGTGCTTGACGAGCCATTGATGATGCGTGAAATTAAATATTGTCCATTCCCTAGGCGTTGTTCAAGGGATAGAACTGAGGGTATTTGTTGAGCAGTCGACGATACGCAATTCGTCAAAGAACCCAAAATAGTGAAACTTGTCAATGACTGGTAGTTATTCTCCACGTTCATTCAAAATCACCTATCGTCCTTCAAATCCGCTAATGAATTAATTGATGGCGATGGCACGTCGAGTCATTTAGCCCGCCACTTTTCGAAACGAGGCATGCTCGGGCCAAATACACTCGTTCTTGCGGATGTTGGCACTTAGTTATACCACTGTAGAACACTGTCTATGGTTACATCAAAGTGGCACACCGTCAATACCTCGAAAATATTCGAAAAACACAAATATAAATAACACAAAACGATCGCGACTTGATTGTTGGCAGGTTAAAATTAGCTTTCACTAACTACCAATGGAATAATAAAGTATAATTTATACCTGCCAAGAACCTTTCCGACATTATGAAGCTCGACAACGACGCTTATCTGGACTATTAAAAGAAAAAAAAGAATTGTAAATTATGCATATAATATAGATCGGACAGAAATTTGCGCAATTTCGTAGCGAGTGTCCATATATTTGAATTAAATCTGACTGTGTTTCAATTCCATTTACACTATAATTATCATCTCGTTCCAATGCCATCGATGATGATGAAACCTATGAAAACGTTAATCGGAACGTGTCGGATATAGGAATCGAACTAGACGGACGGACGACGCGTATGATCACGGAGCGTGAACAGATCTGTTTCACAGGTACAACTTTTCAACACTATGTTCAAAGCATTATAACGCTATTAAAACTAAGTGGGGTTCAAGTAATTACTTAGAAAATTGACATTTCGAAATGTATTACCGATAATCTACGTTTTAAAAATATCAGCCTTAACGAACTGTTTATACTCGCTTCCAATGCTGTTTGTTTTCAAAACATTTTAACAACGTAATGTCAAAAAAAGTAAACATCAGACAACAAGACTCAATGATAAAATATCCCGCGTCTAAATATTAAGAGCATTTCCAAATCCGGTACATATATATATATATATATATTTGATTTTAAGATTATAACCGGGTTGACTCGACAAGTCATCCATAGTAATGCTATTTCTTTAAATACGTCATCTTCAGGGTCCCTTCTGGCAAAAATCATCGTGAAAATGAGCAGTTAAATCCAATTAAAGGGTGGCCCACTGAAAAGCCTCGCCAAAATTTTTGTCAAGACATTAACTTCTGAGCAATCCCTTAGTAGAGCGGATGATTCCCATAGCTTCTAGTTATGTGCTTACATACAATTGTTAGTAATTTCCGGTCATATAGTTACGCTCCGTATGAATAATGTAATAGAAAAAATGTGCCTTCTCGGCCCATGCCGAACGCCATGGGATCATTGCGGAACGTCAAGTATATAGCTTATAGACAAAGAGACGCTTCCTATCTTTTTTTCCATCAAGTTTTTGACCATCAACTCTATAATGTGTGAACTTTGATAGAGGAACACGGCGATACGAACTAAAGATACCGCATTCTAAAGAAATGGTATCTGAATACCCTGTAAATGCAGTCACTGAGTGCAAACTAGTATGATATTGAGCTTTCATATAATATTCATTTCATTAAGCAAACGCTTAGCGCAGGTTCATTAGCGTGTGGAAGGTGAGCTATAGACGAGTCCCTATATAATATTTTCATTGCTTTGATGCTTATCTGAGAAACATTTTGTGAGTACCAGCTATCTTAGTCCATTTGCAAGGGAGGCCGACAATTCACATACGGTCATTTGGCTGAATGGAGAAAGTAAAGTGATGCAGAATAACGTTTCAATTCAATCCTTAGCGAATTTATCCTGCAATACAGAGATATTGATCTACCGCGGCCTGATCGGCATTTCACATTGGTTGACCCTGTTTAGGATTTCTATAGGCCCTATTACACTATATAGTACGTTATTTAAATTCTTAATTCTGAACAGAAGCCTAAATCCTGTGTCGAAAAGCACCTTGCCCTTGCGGGGACCGAAATGAGGTTGGGCGAGCGATGTACCCGAAGCCATCTTGAGGCCTTGGGTTCCAAAGCCTCGAGAGCGTTTTAACTGCGTGGCCGAAAACTCACTAACTAAAAGGATTGCAAAAGCAAGTTCCTAGAGCCATCGAAATTCAATAGACGAATGCATACTATAAGAATACTTACAGCTTAATTACAGCGAACCCTTTCAAAAGAGGGTCCGCTGTACTTATGCAGTATGAGACGGTGGCTGCCATAGTATCAAGTAAGAAACTAACTAAGAAACTTTAACATATGAACTTATACCAATTTCATTTATTGGTGGCATCAACGAGCATCTCGACTGCAAGTACATACAACTAGTCAATAAAAGCTTTTATATGTCTGGTTTGTATAACTTATCATATTATTTTTTACTTTAGAGTATAATGTCAAAATATGCAGTGGCCTATGATTGCTTTTATGTTAACTCAAGATACTAACATTTATTCCCTGCAACTTCTCAACCAATCATTAGGTGAGCAACGTCTGAAAGTATATTGAAAAATATATTGTTTCAAAATACATTAGAATACTAATCTTCATTCGATTCCACATTATCAAACGTCAACTTGACGTCTAGAATGTTCGAATGAAGAGCTCTATCATTCACTGCTCCCTCTGGTCAGCAAGAGGAATCGTTTAGGTTAAAAGGACAGCTTATGACACATGAGTAGATCAGTCTATGTCTTCTTTACAAAGAATACTCTAATTAAGGACTATACGAAATAAGTTATAAGCGAGTAGAAGACTATTAGGCTTTCACGACCTTGTCCTCTGAATACTGTGCCATCTGTAATTGTTACATTATTAGGGAAACACAATATAAGCTCGTGAGAATGCCTTACAATGGGCACCGGCAAATAGACGACGGTCACACGCCACCCTTTTGCTACCACAAATAAAAGGTTCATTACTTTTGCAAAAGCTTTCTATACAAACAGGCTATTTCAAACATGTTCTACAAGGATCAAAAATTGCTAATAACAATTCTGTTGTACCATGACGATATAGTGAAGTTCTGCTGTAAAGGTGATGATTCTCAGCTTTATATGACCACCTGCCATAAGCAGGGCAATCTTTTTCGGCAACATGTCATTCTTAAAGATATCGTCCTACTGATCGGGGCCACTATTTTCTGGTGGAAGTAACTGATGATCACGTGCTAATCATCCGGGATGGCAGCCTTCCTTACCACTGTGACGCGGGACTTTTTATCACGTGACCTAATTGTGTACTTTCTTATTAATGTTTTCCCTTTGATAGAATAGCGCTTATATTAAGCATAATTTTCACAGTACCTGCGACTAACTTGATGATCAAGGTAGACGTTGAGTAATTCGAGTTTCATTAGGTGTGTGCTGAAAGATAGTTTCAGGTTTAAGGATACGTTAGTTAGCAACCTCTATATAGTTAAAGAGCGTCTAAAAATGTCCTTGGCGATAATGCGCAATTTCCTCCCAAGACGAGCTATTTGTTGTCTATGAAATCTATGAATAGACTTCTTATGAAAAAAAAAAATTACATTACCTAAAGCGAACGCTAACCGAGTCTACCCTGTGATGTAATCAGTTACTTTTAGGAAGGTAACCTTCAAGCAGATATCGTGGCCCTATAAAATCGTGACGGCCTATTGCGACTAGATACTAGTGGCGTCATCTAGGCTGAACCTGACGAAGGTACCCCTATGCTAAGGTAAGAAACTGCAGGATTTTCTCCCTGCAGCCGCAAGTTAGTCCACTTTAAAGATGCCGCCAAGAGAATACTGCGTCTTTTGGGTACAACAATTTTTGCATTAAAAACTTAATCGTCACAATTTGTTGCAGTCCAACAGAACTGTCTTTGCAATTAAGGGAATAGGAAAGGTGAAATTAGGCCGATCATAACCAAAGCAGAGCAGGAGCAGTTGTTGATAATAAACGGACCCCATTAACCACAACAATGAATTTAATAATTAAATTTTGTGTGATAATAAAGCACTAACAATAGTATTTGTAGACAACACAATGTCTATAACTGAGCAGAAGCATCGATTCTAATACAAAGTCTCAAACTTATTAAGAGTTTTTGTTTGTTTTTGAGAGCTGGAACAATAACTATCCCATTGAACACTTATAGTATGAACAAACTTTTTATGATATTGCTAACAAATTGCTCTAGGGTTTAGGTGCCACTGGTGAAAGAAGATAAATATATCAGTCGTCAATTTTGAAATCGGTATTATCTGTTTTTCCGTAAAGCAGTAACAAAACCATAACTCCCATGCGGTATGCACCGACATCACTGGCACGTACATACATACTAGCATATACGAATCATATTGGGCAAAATGGTCATTGAGAAGCTTGTCTTTTTCCTTGCTCAAAATGCAACTAGAAGCACATAGAAATGCAGTTTAAGCGACATCAGCCTTTGACGACAATAGATTATGCTCTAACGGTTACCGTGTTAAATGATCTTCGTTGAAAAGGGTGACTCGAATATCTCTATGCACGTATCTATAGTGGTCTATGGCAAAAGCGTGTTTAAAAACGGTTAAAAAAAATATCCAGTCGATCAAATATATATATATATATATATATATATATATATATATATATATATACATAGCTTTTGATTTATTATATTAAGTTTTTTTCTTAATTTTCGTTCTGTATGTACATACACGCTAGAGGGAATTTTCTTACGCTATTGATGATAATATATAACGAGAAGTGTTGTGAAATAATGTATCTATATTTTTGTCATTGATTTTATCTAGAACATTGGCAATCTCGCTGTTTTTGGTAATCGCTCAATCCAACATCTCAATTAGTCGTTCCGCTTTCGCATCTGAATACAAGTTCTTAATTATATATATGTATATATGCGCTGGTATCTTGGGAAAATAACTGTTGAGTCATTTCTAAATACGAAGAAACAGGCGATTACTAAACCTAATTTGTCGTTTGTATGTAACCTTTACTAAGATTATTGGCTGGCGCCATGTGTTCTGCTTGCCACGCAAAAATTTTGCGGTTACCTGTATGCCTTCCATGTAGCTTTCCTGTTCTGATACCGTTGTCATGACTATACTTTGTTGGGTGTCCACTATGTATTATAACAACTGTCTGTTACCTGTAACACAGGATTTTTTTTTAACGTTCTACCATCGGCCTCCTATCGATAGCACTGCTCCATCCAGTCGCATACAACATACAAAACATGACGTACTTTGTTATACTTCTCTGCTGGAGGTGATTCAGTTGTGATCTATTCTCATCTCCACAATGTTCAAAGCCTGTTGAAATACTTTCTACAAGGTCGTTTTGTTTTAGGCTTTGCCTTTTGTGTTGCCGTTTTGTTGGCACTTGAGTTACTAATTCTATCTTTTCTTTGCTCATAGTATTCCTCGTATCGAAGATGAGCTTAATAAACTAACTAACAATTCAAATATGGCTTGACGTGCCCAGCTCTGTCTGCTATCGCTTAAATAAGTGTACAGGATCACGTTGCGGCTAGTTGTGTGGGCTATAGCTCGCTCCCCACGAAACGTTTTTTTGGGTAGTGAATCGATTGATCATTTTTTTTATATGTAAATAAACGGTTTTTGGCTGAATGCGTCTGTGCTTCGATGTACAGGCGGTTAAAAATAACCAGGCGACGAATAGAAATCCATCACTAGGTAGCGAAGCGTCGAACATATGTAATTTAGTAGCAAATGGGTAGGTTGACTGATTAGGGGCGATAAGGTATCGTCCGTAACTAATATAGATATGAGTGTTAACCATAATAACTTATAGCCATTATATATAAAGACAATTACAGTTATCACGAGAGCAGATATAGTACCGAATGGGCGCAGACCGATATCATACGGGATTTATCACACGGTACTTGTACGATGTAAACTCATCATCGCTACCTACCATTTTTTTTTTTTTGCTTACATCAAACTATTATTATATTTATACACTGTGGCGCTATCTAGTGCACATTTCTGTCCAATTCATTCGTTATCATCAGCTTCTACCAGAAGCCAGGTGGCATCTAGCATCTCTCTGCTAGGCCATGTCTGTACCGGCAGTCAGGCAGATTCGGTAACTTGATAAGTTCGGATAATTAAACCATGGATTCATAGCATGGCAGCAATAAGAAGTAACTGTTTCACTTCTGCGAAATGGATCTCTGTTGAGATCGTTTTGGGAAATTGCCGCAGCAGGCCGCAACAACGGAGTCAGCATAGTTGATATATTTAGACGGGACGCGAATGAGACGGCATAAATATATGGATATGTTAATCTGCCGGATTCATTTTGTTTCTAGCTAGCTTGATTCAACTCACTTCGTTTATGCAACCATCGATGATTCTTTTTCAGTGGGCAACGCTGATCGACTGGTTCGTACGCAGGGTATAAGGCATAACATTACACCGCCAAGTGCGATCACTACACCCGAAAATACGAAACCCCAATCATATGAACCAGCCCAGTCGTAGAAGGACCCGGTTAGTGGAGGCCCAATGAGGCATGCTACTCCTTCGAATAGCAACATTAAGCCGAAAGCATTGTTGAGCTTCTTGAGTCCCAATAGATCGACAAGAATTACCGATGTCAACGAAATAAACGCACCCGACGTTGCGCCAAACGTAAGGCAATAAAGAGACAACTGCACGTAATTTGTGCAAAACACCGATAACGCTGTAACAATGCCGCATGTTCCGATACACGCGTTGTATAAGAAAATCCGGTTTACAAACTTTTTGTCCGATAAGTACCTGTTGAAGGAAACCACAAAAGGAAACAGAGGGATGGCCTGCTAGTTGTTGACAGCAAATCGTTAACGTTATTTATATAAGGATTCAACTGTTCAACGAAACAAGGTAGATCTCATAACGAAATTCTGAATAAATGACACATATCTACCTTCGATAATCCTTGACACAGCATTTAGTTCACCCGTCCTCGTTCTACTCATAATCCACTATAGTCCTAGTGGTACTACGAAGCTTAGAGTGGAACTCATTAAATAGTCTTATCTATGAATACTAACCCGAGAAGTATTCTAGATGCTGTATTGCTAAGACCGATCATGCTGAGTAGAAGAGGTGCCTTTGAGTCTTCGACCGCCAGTTTGCGACGCGCCACATCCTTAATATAGACATAGGGTACGTTGAAGCCTATCGAGGTAAAAAAATTGGAAAGTGCAAAGAGTATAAAGACTGGAGAACGAAGTAGCAACGCGAGGTCAATGGAGTCAGCGATTGTCTTGATAAACGATGCGAATTGTTTGTGAGGGCTCCGCTGATTGCGCGTTTGAACCGAATGGACCGATAGCGACGGCTACAAATGAGAAAATTCAGATTCAACATGATTTATTGTATAATAAAATATTGGGCTGATAAAGCACAACGTCTACGAAACACTACGGAGACAAGCTCCGAATAGTTTGGTAGACCCCCTTGTCCTAGATCCTTTTAAGCAGCCATTTGTCGATACAACCGCTTTATAATAAGACATAGAGTCGCGTGAGCGGATTAGGAAATAGCAAGGAAGCGGTTAATTGGGCTTCCACAAATACGTTTCGTTTGAAAAGAATCTAAGTTATTGCTTTTGTAGTAACAGGGTTAGGTAACAGACGAAAGGCCCCGCAATTACAACAGCTCTTTTAAGACTGTTTCATTGTTAGGTGTATGGGGTATTGCATACGAGTCAAGACTGCTGACAGCCAGATCAGGTGAAAAGATACTGTCGAACCATATCTTTGTTGATGAACTAAAAATAATGAAGCAGAATAGGTCTTTAGCAGGCCTTAAAAAGACAGGAATAAAGGGTAAGGAAAACGAAGGAAACAATCATTTGAACAAAAGATCAATATACGAATGCTTCATTCCACTATCCATCAGCCAAATACATTACAGTTTCAAGGTAACCGTGTTGTAGAGTCGTGGGATCCGACAAAAAATTGTACAAATTCAAGTAAATTTCTCTTAGAACTCATAGAACTCTCTCAGCCTCATTTGCTGCACGAAGGGATACTGTCAATAAATATACAGTGTTTTAGCGGCTTGAATAATGGTTTTATTAATAGTAACTCTATTTGTGCTATTATTATAAAGACCACATGTATCGCTGCTACCTTAGTGCTGGGGCCGTAACAGTGATAATTCAGTGCCAGCTGTCAGCTAGTCCTGAAGAAAAGTTTAACTTCACGTAAACTTAGCAAATCTCGAGTGAAATGGAAGGGACACGGCCGACGTGGCCTGTTATTTAAGGACACATTAGGATTGATAGGCGTTTTTGCTGGTCATTAAACCAATGACGTCGGGTTACTGCTATCACCACATGAAATCGAGTAAGGTGTGAGTTCATAGACGTACGAGTAGTAAAGATGCGAGACAATATACATAGTAATAATACCTGGATGAGAATGTATGGTCGATAGCTTGGGTATGGTATATTTTTCGGCTTCGATTTTTTCGTGTAGCAGATATATAAGCAACTTGACAATGCTCATATACGGTATACTTTAGTGAAGTTTATAATTATATCGAAATAAATAGTAATCAAAAATAAATAATGATATCGCCAGGGTAGCTTATTATACATACTTGGCTCGTGTGGCTAAGACGTTTTTTCAGTGAAGCGTAATTGTTCGCCTGCATACACGAGATGTTCTCTCGTTCAAGATAGAGTTGACGATCGACTGATGGCGTTCGGATTAAGACAAGCTCTTGCTCCGAGTTAACAGAAAGGTGGCATACCGATCTGAAAGACCAAGCGAAGTTGAATCTCTAAGCTAATGCGCTCAGGGACGACAAGTCATGCCGTTGGATAAATCTACAATCTATGCGCGTTGTCACTGTAAATGATATTAGAACAAAGGACGTGCCTAAATAGAAATTTTGATTTAGCGTACACAGCATATATTAAATATACATCTATCGAATAGGAGATAATGTATGCGGTATTATAGCGCATATAATAAAAATTCATTCTTTTCGTACTTGTGGTGAAGCTTATCCTTGGAGTCAAGCAGTTGCAACGTGCCGAAAGCATCATCCGGCTTAAGGAGCCTGTCGGACGCTTCTAACTCTAAAATCTCACGAATGTCTGGAACCGGCTCCTTAACGTCCTTACAAGGTATCTGAAATGAAAACAGGTACAGAAATTCTATTAATGAGTCGCGGCCAACCCTATATAAAGGCCACTTGGTAGCTCTATGGACTCCCTTTAATAGCCAGCTGGCCTAGTGAGAAAATGACTAATCCACTAATGAGCTGATAGGAAGCTAATCGCTATTTACATAAGGAATTTTGCCTCTTACTGAATCGGACGATACAATTCCTACCTTATAGTAAATAGGGTTCAAGCATTTCGAAAGCCATTCTAGTTGTCAGTACCATATATATGAGGCTTTGTGTAATGATAAGCTATGTGGAACTCGTATACAATATAAATCAATACTTTCTATTAAGCTAACAAACCACTTAAATATTAGAAGAAGAAAAAAAAAAGTAAACGCCTGACTAAGTACTGAAATATATGAACATAATATTCTATGATGTACACATTTAGGCTTTTATGTCGACCTCGATCTTTGCATTTTCCCTTAGTCCTAGTTTTATTTTTTTACAAACTAGACATAACCGATCAATCATTGAAATTGCCTCAGTTGAGCTTTTGAATTTAAAACAAACTGAACCGCCTACTGCTGTTAACACATGGGCCCCGACACGGTCAAGTCCACGCGTGCCGAATGGGCATGTATCGAAAAAACTACTAAAACGTATTAACGTCCTGAAATCTTCAAGGAAATCAGGAATCCGAGAAAAAATTAGACATTTAGGCTTTTATAGGGCCGAAAAGGAATAACTTGTGATCTCCGGGACTTCGTTATCAGAAGCCCTGTGATTTAGAATAACATAGTTACTGTAAACAAGTATTTAGCGGAACGGAATATTCTTAACAGCTGTGCTGCTCCCGTTATCTAGGGCTAACGAACAACACCTATACGGATCGCACTTCTGAAATCACGTGCGCCACCCTTTGAGAACGCTGTTTTGACACAGGTTCTCCAAATCAACGTGAGCAGTTTTTGAAAAATCGACAAGTCCAGTTCAAATGAACTTTGCGAAAGCATTCTGCGTCGTTGTCTGCATTTCCGTGTTAACTCAACAAACTTGACAAAGAAAAATGCATACGGACCGTGACCCACAAAATACAATTACAAATGTCCTTTCTACAGAAATTTTATCGCCAAGGGATGGCCGTCGCTTTTTTCCGCGGGCGATCGATGAACCCAGGGTACTGCGACATAGGGCCTGCCATTAGCAACCAGGGGCCGAGTGTTCAAAGTTGCCAGTGGGCGTTTGATCATCCCAAAGCGGCTTTTCGAAGCGGCCACACGTACCTTACGAGAAACAAGCGGGCGTCTGTCATCGAGAACTGAATGAAATGAACGTATCACTAAAGACCGTGCTGGTGCGTTAGGAAGCCTTGAAATGCCCATCAGGTAAAAGCTACGACAATCATGAGCACGCTAAAAAATGAAAATAGAGCCTCTCAGTTCAAAAGGGACTTTATTATTTTGGCTTCGTGCGCCGTTAAACGGTGGTTCATTTAAAGAATTTAAATATTTTAATTTTACTTTGATTAATTTCAATTGTATTCGGCACACAACACACACAAATCTAGGGTCAAATATCTGTTTTCTAATGTATTACTGGAGTCTATACTATACAGGAAAGGTTACAATATACTGCCATTTCTCATTCTTAAAGCAGTCATGGTTTTTGAGGATAAACAGAACCATTGAGGGTTCAGAATTGCAACCAACTCACAGTTACTTTCTACGGGTGCAGGCAGGCTGCTTTATATATACGCTGAGGGCTACGTTATCAGCCCCAGCAAATAAGGCCAATCTTGACGGCGTGTTTATGCGGTTTTTTGATATAGAAGTTTAGCATTCTCAATTTTCCTCTACCATTTAAAAATATGCGTACTAAAACGAGCACCTACTGCCGGCCGTCAGTTGTGACCAATGACGAATTTCATACTTATCACCCGTTGTACACAGGTGATGTGAGTGCCCGTAGAATTATCTTGGGAATACACTGTACGACACTGTAAACTTTATATAGCTTCAAGCAAGAACTGCTCGGTGAGTGTGAACACGAGAGGTGCTACTATTAGAGACCGAGTATGTATTCGACAATAAAAGATTGACGAGTGTTGCATGGAAAAGTCAGCTGATTAAAGACCTTATTAGGAAGCAGACCCTCGACCTTGACAGTCTAAGCTTTGGACAATAGGATCGCAATAAACGTTTTGAAGCCACACTACACATAAAGGAAGGATACATTGCTTATGTGAAACATCCGTGCCCTACATGGCCATCAGCACAACCAGTCGAAGTCTATAACGTGAGGTTGAGGTTTCATCAAGAAGTTCTGGCAGTGGATTTATATATAATACAGTACAAGTTCGCGCCAAAAAAAGGTTGCATCAATATGCGTACCCCAATTACCATAAAAGGCGGTCCCGTTCTAGGGGATAAACTTTACAGCATGGTAATCAGTGGGGACACAATTACCAACCCTGTTAGATTGCTTTGTCGAGATGGAGTAACCGTTAAAATCGTTCACAGAGACGTCCTTCAGGCTGCCTCTCCGTTTCTTCGCCAGATTATCATTGTTAGTAATGACATACTTGCGCCCGTACCGGTAGCTGTTAAAGGCCGTATTCTCGATTTAATTATCGAGTTTATCTACACGACGCGTATCAACGCCGTTGAAATCCACGAACTGGTGGAGTTGTACGCAGCCGCGGATACATTTCAGCTCGACGAGCTTCGCATGCTCCTGAAGGAATTTTTTCGTAGCAATATCCGCGACTGTCTGATGAAGGACGAGTTATTCCTAAATCGAGGTTTCGAAGAGATGCGTCGTTTTATAGATATATTTCCTATAGCTATTGACTTTCAGGACCAAGTGCGACTTATTCAAACCATATTTGATTGGGCCAAAAAACAGGGAATTGACGGCGCTCGCGTCTGCGATCTCGTTGCGCGTATCGTGATGCGCACTCCTTTGGAAGTCGCGCCGAAGCTAACGATCGAGAACATTCAGATTCCAAAATGTAGCAGACTGCAAACAATTCCGCTTCTAATTAGCGAAAATCAGGTGCTGCAGGTTATACATGGAGGCTTTGCCGGTGCCGAGCTCCCAGCAGCGATAGTTGAAAAGTTGGTCAAAAGCGATAGTGCCTGCATAACTGGTAATGAAGTATACATTATCAAGCCAAATGAGATCATGGTATTTGACCTGATTACTGCTGAACAGCTGCGAACCTTCGTGTTGCCGTTTGACTGGAGGGCTTGGTGCGAGAAGTTAATTCTACGAAAAGGCCGAGTATATACGTGGCACGAGAATGAAATCTACGAGCTGAATATCGAGGGCTTTAGTAGATTGTGCCAAACGAAAGCAAAAGTGTGTGATCTAGCAGTCATCGAACAGGAGAGCAATTCATTTCGATTCGTTTATGAGAATAAGGACAAACAGACTATAATTTGCACCGGCGACGGAAAAGGCAATATAAAAAATGAGACGCCAATCCCAATTGCAAACATCGAACTGGTTGGTGTCTATGATGACGCTGTGATCATTTGCAAAAGCATTGAGGAATTGATGATCTACCAAAATGGCGCCGTCGTGTGGAAACACTTTCTCGGAGGTGTGGTTGAATATATTTTTTGCGCTGGCAATAGTGTCTATATAAAGCGACCGAATGATCTCTATATTGTAGATATCGTGTCGCGTTCGATTAACACAATATCGCCGGTACCGTTAGGCCATTTTATGATCAGAGAAATCCTTGACTAGTAGACATACTATTCGCTCATACGTTGATTGTGTAATAAAGATAAATTAAAAGGCGTGATGATTAATTCATAGTTTTTCGTCTGTTAGTGTTATGCTTACGGAATAGCGTGATCTAGCGTTCATTCAGGTGCCAGATAACTTTTTTCAAGCTCTTCGAATCGGACCAAGGTGCAGAAAGCAAGGAGCTTTTTCGTATCGAGTCTCTGCCGCTGAATTTGCGGAGACGATTACGTGGAACTGGAAAAAACAATAACTGCAACAATATCGATAAATAATAATAAATAAAGTATCGATTTGATCGATAGATCGAAGATTTGTATCGATAAAACAAAGCTACAACCACTAGCCAGGAATCGAAGAAAAAACCTATCCATAGCAGTAGCGGATTCGGCAGATATTGCTTTGCTTATTTAGCTTGAAAACTCTCCCTGTGAATACCAACCGGTGGCCCATAGCAGTTAGCCTTTGAGTGCATGAGCAGTGCTATGTACGGTACTTGTTTTGATACTATTGAAAAGTCACGTCACGGGGGGGGAAAGGGGTTGCGTTACGTTAAATTTAGACGTAATAGGTGTACTCTAAATGTTGACTAAGTATACATAAACACACGGACAATTTGTGTACGTTATCGAAGCTTTTCAGAAAGGAGTGGCGAGTAGAAGTAAGGCAACTCCAATCTGCTGTTAGAACCCTGCGCGATACCCTGCCTGTGGTCGACAACTCAGTGAGCCCTACGTCGAGTCCATTCAGGTTTTCTTTTAATCTATTGTAATTTGTAAAGATAACTTCGTCTGTCAACTTCGATACAATAAATGGGCGAATTCGTAGAGCCAAATTAAATCGGATATAGATATACCTATTTTACTATCTTCGGTGGAGATTAGCAGCAGGCTTTTCCTTGATTATATATATTAAGAAATGTGAGCAATCAGATGCGTAGGGATTACCAAGCCGACAGACTGCTCAAAAGATTGCGACGTCACGGGAATCCTATTGTAATTTTCGAATATCTAAAAAACGGCAAATAATACAGCCAGAGACAATAGCGACAAATAACATCACGACCACAAGTGACTAACATCTCTTCCTATTTTGTACACTTATGGGTGTACTAATTATTTTCTAAAATGACCTTTCCGCAACCCATTAAGTATATCCAGCTAAGCACTGCTTTATACGCTTCGTTGTGAATATGATGATGGTGTTACTGTTAATAACAGTAGTAGGAATTATAAAATATTGTGACCAAATGAGCCTTACATCACTATATACTGTTGCCCCGATAGGGCAGTTTGTAACCTCAAGCTTAAAAAGCGATATCTATGATCTATCTTTAGTTAAACAATCAAAGAGCGCGACTTTATATCAAGGTTGACATTGTTGGTCAGGCCAACGAAGCGCGCAACGTTGTCAGTTACTCATTCGGATAAAGGTCATCGTACTCGATGTTCGTTTCGCGTATCCTATACTTTGAACGCTAGGAGAATGTCTCTAAGGTCGTGAAATAGATTGATTTATAAGATAATATTTAAAGCAAGCTACGAATAAATGCTTTTTCTTCAAGCGGCAAAATTTGCCGTTGTATACCGTTCGATCCTCTGGCTGAATAGTGGAAAAAACAATTAACTTGTTTTTAATTGCTGATCGAGCAAGCGCGCTCGTAAAAGCAACAAACCTAATTATGTATATACATTTCAAAGTTGTTGTTGAAACTGCGAGTCAGGTTTATCTCCACTATTTAGATTTAGTTATATTAATGAACTCACCATAGCCCAATCAATAGAACAGCAATGCGTGTGTACATACACCTTGGCCCTAAAAAAATCCGGTGCATAACGTATCACTGCGCCATCTAGTGAGCGAAACTCCAAACCAATCTATGGAGATAACATAAAACAAAGCAAGCGCTCAACCTCACCTGGGTGAGTTGTGGTCATTTATTATATATATATATATAATACGATTGCGTGCTACGGTTCGCGCCTGCGTCTGCCGTTTCGAGTCACCTGGCGGACATGTGTAGCAGTCTAGTAGTCTATTGTGATTATATTTGGAAATTATATCTATACGAACATGTGTTATTTTGAGACGTTATACTGGGCATGTCCGTTCGAAGGTGAACCGACATGAATTACTGATATAGAAAGGTAAAGAAAATATACTGATAACGAAATCTGCTTTGGAAGTGACGCTGCGGAAAATACGTTAAGCAGTCAACATCTGAAACACAGAATTTGGCTTCAAACAGTAGACGTGCCACAGCTTGTACTTTTCATAAGAATAGCTAAAATCGCTCGAGTCGGAACTAATCTTGTAACAATATGTTTACTTGAAACTTTACCATAGTATACTATTACTAACAAGTTGACAATTCCAACAGTGACGTTTGCCGTTTATGAGAAGTTGGGCCTGATACTAAACATCTTAAACTTGTTAACATATCGAAATGAGTTTGCGTTTAATGCTTTCGTGACAAAGAAGGTACAGACTAAGCGTAAAATAATTCAATAGTTGAGAGCAGCATAAACGGATTCTCACTTTAAGGGTTTTGAAAATAGGCCTTACTTGATATAGAAGAGCAGACCGGGACTTCTTTGACGCTGCTGGCTATGGGAGACGCTATTATATATTTGTCGGGCACGGGCAGACGTCGCAGTCACCAACTATCCTGACTTGCTTCAAGTATGGAAAAGCTTCTTGTCATGTTATTATTTACATCATTATTATTCGGCTTTAATTAGAGAAAAAACGGTGGTGAATGACATGCCTGGAGCAATTGATTGATCGTATTGCAATATTTACAGAGTATTTTAAGAACGGATAGGGGGGGATATCCAATCGGATAAAGCCGGTAAAAGAAAAAACAAAAATGTACTTCAGCACTGCTCAAACATTACTATCGAATGCGTGTCCTAAGAATAATAACAGGAAGCATTTAACAGCGTAATTGGCTTAAGAAACCCCCTAATCTGCTATCATATCATCATTGTCACTGCGACGACAGAGCCGCACAGTGCAGGAGATAACTTATTTTAGCTCCAATAGCTACAAAACCCAACTAGTACATATGCACACCCGAACGAGCTGATCTGGAATCCTCGATACTGCGTTAATGATAAGTAACCAGTTCTAGACTTCGGACTTCTCGGATATGTGCGGGTCTTCCAACTCTGCCTGTGCTGGAGGTGGATAGACAACAATTTCTATGCCGCGCGAAACACTGTTGCCCTATAGCTTGCTTCTGGTATCAGGGTAGCCGAATGACTCTACGTTTAGCCTTATTCATTTTTTTCTTTTTTAAGACGAAGCAGCTATCGGTTGCATCAAGTGTTACTTGAAAGCTGAATGACAATAATAACAAAATAATGCAATAGAATTGTTCGAATGTTTCCATTCAGACATAAACACATAACGTTTCTGGGAAAATCTACTCTGTTCTATAACTCCGTATCGGCGAATGCTATTCAGACCCATAGTATACTGTACTCGTCGTGCTCAAGATGTGGTATCGAAACACACAGCTCAAAGATAGTTCTGTCCGTTCTATTGTAAAAATTTCGATTCCAATTACGGAAAAAGTTATCAAGACGGACACGTGAGCAGGCCTGATACCGCAAAGGAACCTACACATCCATTACGCAGCAGTATTGCACAATTTGGAGAAAACTGACTACAAACAAAATGTATCAGTGTTTGGGCAGCACACGAACTGATATGAAAAAAATTACTCGGTTATATCTTAATCCGCAAAATTTCACAAAAATCATTCCTAGAGCGGATGGGCACGGGTGATTAAACGATGATGAGATTACATACGTTATTAAAATGCGAGAAAAAATTACTCTACAATATGGGGTAAAGCGCAGATTGACTCAAAGAACTATTAGTGGAATAGTGTTGGTTGTTGCCACCTGGAAAACGATTGATCTAAACCTCTAGTGTCAACGAAGAGCCCGATCATAGCAAATCGACCAGAGCTAGTAAACAGTTCTCTTCCATCATGACAATGTCATACCACTGACATATTTGGCTGCACGGCAAAAATGGAGAGGGCTTCAGCCTAAGTCTTGCATCATCAGACTGTAGAACTCTTTTAATGCTACTAATTCAGTTTCAGTGGAAAAAATGTCACGATTACATTTAATCATCTGTCTTTTTAATCTCTGTCAGAAATTGTTCCTTTTATATACATGTCGTTATGGCACTAGCAGATGTTATCCATTAAAACAGTTCAGATCTAATTTTCGGCTAGTGTTTTATATTTGTTCACGAACCGCAGGTCCGGCTAAATAGTTTTAGTCAATTTCGTTGGATATCCATCCGTTGTTAGATGGGTAGCACTGCTATTGGCTATGAGCGTAGACATACTCAGCGAAGACGACGGTGATCTAGTGCGCGTGCACGAGCGTGCCTTCACCGCGGCCGTTAGTTAAATGAACAGATTTAAATACATTGAGTACTATTGAAAAAGCGATATTTCACACAAGCGTCACCTATAATCTAATTCTGATTGGATAGCGAGAAAATTATGCTTATCCCAAGTCAATAACATAATAAATTGTCAGATCTTACTGAAATAAGCGTAAAAACAATAGCTTGAGAATTAGTGAGCATATTCTGATACGAAACCACCATACTTAACCGTGCACGTAATAGCCAGCTTGCCCATAACAAACTCACCCAGTATTTGTTGTTCATTGAATTCAGTCACCTGGAAACAATTATACTGGAAGCTATAGGCTTGCGAGCTTCTCCTGCTAAGCTCGGATTCCTCATGCTTATCGTTCCTGCCATCGTATATGAAATATAGGCTATCAACTAACTGGAAATCTGCACCGATGGCAGGAAATCTATACACTTCAAACCTGAATGCTATGCTAGGTCAGCTAATGGGTGAACGTAGCCCAGATAGCTTGTCCGAAATCATCGTGTACACCCATTTAGCGTGGCTGTTCACGAAACGAGATGACAGTCATCATTGGCCTCCCACGTACAGGCCTGGTACCGTCCGCCTTCAACGAAAGTTGCTTCTCGCTCCCCTAGCACTATTAAGGTTATTCCTAACCGCCCACGACATATCTACACAATGACTGCTAGAATTCTACGGTCAATCGGCTTTGAGTTAAGCCGAACTTGCCATTGAATGGTGTTACCGGAATCGTTTTGGCAAAGGCTTATTTCTTTTGGTAGTGTAGCGTAGAGCTTTGCGGGACGTGTAGCTAGGAACGCACAGTTATCAGTGAAACACTTGATATGGTACGGAGATTACGCTGTTGTACAATTGTGGCCAGCAAAAAATAGGGGCCTTCTACTAGAGTTGAGCTAAGAAACCACGGAAAAAAGGATGTCTTTATATAGCCTTTATTATTTTACTCTTCGACATTACTCAGGTTAAAAATGAGCGGGATAAATATATATATATATAAATAATAAAATTGTATCGTTTTCGTTAATCGGCAAATGAACGTAAACGTATTTTACAATTAGGATATAAACTTAGAATATATCTTCATCATCATCGAACAATCACATCACTAGGTAAAATGCATTAGGCCTGCCCTAGCAATCATATCAATTGCGTGCTCATTTTAGACAATGTAATTGGCTGGTTGGTGGTATGATCTATTTACCCACAAAAATCGTGACTCAGGTCAGTATACGGCGCAGTGGACCTGAACCGCCAGAATGGAGCTAAAGATCAGCCTGCTGGGATTCGGTAATTGGAGCAGTAGACGATGGAGCAGGACATATTGTATAGAATATCTTGTCTTATTTGTATTTCAGATCAGCTCATCTGAATAACTCTAGTAGTACCTCCACAGGTTACCGAATATTTTTCGACAGCTAACGAAAATACGTGCGCGATATTGTTAAACGTACTTTTTGTCAGTTCTCATACATGATATCATATATAAATGGAGATTAGCTTTCCGCACATTCTTCCCTTCTGATCACAGGTGATACCAGAACAGGAACAACGTTGGATCTATGACATTTGGAGCGTGCCCTTTAGAATACGAAGACAGCTACAGTTAACAACTGAAATTCTATGGGCGCAAATTTACACCGATAAATCTACTCCGAGTCCGCCGGTGCTCTCGAAACGAAGGCCATTTTATCAAAACTTGTAGGTCGTCTCCACAGCTCAAGCTGACTCTAGCTCTCAGCTGAGTTTAACTACATAAGTGGTATAGGATATAGCTTGTGAGCTAAAGGTGCAAGAACGATCAATTCCTGTATGTTGAATTATGTCTTTAATAAATAGACATTATACAGACAACTATTCAGGGTCGTGAAATGCTTATATACTAAGATATCAATCGAGTTATAATACCGAACGTAAATTCTCGTATCTATGTAATGTTGGTAGGCTTAATCTAAAGTGTCGACATCTTTTCATATATGACGAACTCTCCCTATACATATACAAATTGGATCGACTATTGCATATCAGATTGTCAGAAGGTGACGCCATTTTTAACCTCGTATGGTCTACCTGTGAGTATTACAAACGAGACAGGCAATGCGTCGGTTTCTAGTGTGTCGCAACGTAATTTCGATGGTTACTATTTGCTGCTGAGTTGGAACGAGGATTTCGACTCGCGTTCATAATGTCTAATGTATGATATTGTATCGACCTGGCTAATAAACAATACTCGGTGTAGCCTTTTTTGGAGATTGATCATTGAATCGAGGCCGGCCCGATTCTGGCCAGCTTGCCGTTGTTAAATGCCTGAGTTCAATAAGCACGACCCAGGCCGCTGGCAGTCCCAGTGCACATATGTATAAAGTTCGCCATATAACCTGCAGTCCATGCCCCATCAACATGCATAGAAAATGCATACGGTGAAATGAAAAACAAGACCCGCACGACGCAGCGGGATAGCTACAATTGTTGGCTTGTTTATATTGTGCTTGTTGTCACCGGAGCGATGGGTATTACTTGACGCATTTAGAACCCAAACAAGACAAAAGCACATAAACCAGACCTTTGTCGGCTTAGTAAAAGGCCATAATGCTATACGATATAGTATCGCGCACGAATACAGTTTTGTTGCGTGCATGTGGGAGAGGCAAAGCAAAAGGCATTGAGTTATTATGCAAACAAACTAAAATGTCAACTTACTCGCAGCCATATTCGCCTGTCCGCTATTCAGGCTCAACCGTCTAACGAAACACTTCACGATGTCAATGCTGTCGTTGGCTGGGGTCTAACCGTCCGTGATGGATGGCGTCTATCAAGAAGAGTTAATGTGGCTTGGCCGTCATTGTTTTAATTAGTTCTTCTTGAAGTCTCTTTATTTATTCCTCGTTTGAAAACGTAACGCGGGAAGCTGATGATGCGTCTAATTTGAGATTAAATCGGGACGCAAACTCGAATTACCATCTCTGAGTGTTTATACTTGCCCTTTTCCTTAGCAAAATTCTACAGATATCTAGATTCATGTACAGGATCGGGCGAGGCGAGAGATAACTGATACTCTGGTTGAATTAAAGCGGCAAGCTATCTCAGCGAAACGATAGCAGAAGCTGAAAGAGACGATTTTTTATCCAAGGAATACCATAATTTCCTATTTGTCCCTGTGCCTGGCAGAAGGGGCGGTTAATTAGAGTAAAAAGCGAATCTATTCGCTCACTTTCTTTCCTTTAACAAGAGTGCATCACATTTAGATTGGCATGTTAACATATCGCTTGTATCAAAAACGGTCTCCATAGGGCAAAAGTTGCCACTTAGAACGATAGAAACCTCTACCGTGTTTCACAAAAGTAACCAGAGTTGATCGCCAAAATGGTCAAATGACCAATTTTGTCAAAGTGTTGCTAATGTATCGTGTGAATGCAACAAACTATCTGCGGCATTGAAACATACTTTCGACAGACGACGATGTTTGTAGAATGTTAAACTTTTAAATAAAAATCATTTATTGGTCAAAAGGTAGCGGAGAATTCTTTACTCTACGAGCTGCTAAGAAACTGACCGATCCAAGATCTCTTATGTGCTCAACGGATCGATATAATCCTAATCCTAGAAAAAAAAAAACAAAATCTATAAAAATCTTACAAAAGAAACTGCTCGATGTCATCTTCATGATGTAATCTGCTGACATATAAACTAGTGCGTAAATCTTCACTATTTTCTATACCGTTCGGCCTAGGGTCGTTGAATCCACTGAGACTATACATAGTTCTATAATTTGAATGAATGTATATGCACGATTTCAGTGTCTTACGTGCTCAAGTAAGGTTTTGTACTGATGATACTGAATGTACAATAATTGTATTTTGAAGGGGACTAGTTTAATTTTGTCGTACGCTGGTAGTAGCATGCAATTTACAGCCTCCCAATTATAGCCACAGACACACAATGTATGTATTTATTCATATATTTAAACTACAGTATTACATTTATTTTAATTCGACCACGTCTATCTGAAGAGACCTCTCTATTTCGCGGGGGGTATTCTTTTGCATCCTGTGCATTTAACTGCGCTGTATTTTATACCATCGCGTCATCTGGCGGATGGGACTTCACTGTCTGCAAGATCGACTGGCGGATGGCATAACTACCGGCGTTCGACCTAGCCTGGGGGTTCCTCGTACGGGTCCGCGACAATAGGCCCAAACAAACGGGTCACCTATTTTCCTGAGTTGCTGTGCTAACAGATGATGCTCCCGACTCTACCGCAAGCCACCACACGTTGCAGCTGCTTTATTAACCAAAATTTCTCTATATGGAATATAGGACCTTATCGGATGTTGAACAATTTCTGCGCCTAGATGACCTAATGACACTTGAAAAACACTAAAGCTGGAAGTCGGGTTGTAATTTATTCGCGCTGCAATGGTACAGGGTGCCTGCCTGACTGGAAAGCCATACAATTTCCAACTTTCTACCAAAACACTGATCACCGCTGCCTATTGGTTAGCCAATTGACGCCCCAGGAAGACGAAATCGTTGTGAAGGTTAAATAAGTTGACCAGTGTTACTAGCTGCACTTTCGTTGTCGAGGCTGATGGTGCCTGTATAATGCAAAGCTAGCACAGCTTGCTTGGTATGTTCCCATTTGCAAGTGCCATATTCCTTCGGCATATAATCTAGGGTCTAGGTAGACTAATAAAACATAAGCGAAATGTGCCTATTTCGCAGTCTACCAAACAATACCCAAGAACGCATATGAATGTAACATCCAGCTCATCTAGCAGAAATCACTTGACACCCACGAACTCCCCGAACATCCCGCCTGCTTTCCCGTTCCGGCAAGCCGACCTCTTCCGGGAAACAGTGCTTGCGCAGCTTGTGTCTAAAATTTTCCCGGTCCTCCCTTGCTGTGATCCTTAAATCGAACCTCATTCGCCTCATGATCTAGTTTTATGGCCATTTCCATTCTTTCGGAGCCGCTCGTGCTCCTCAACCCATCGTTTGGGCTCGCTCCCTAGAGCCAAACTCCACACGGAGCGACTTCCAGTTAGACAGCCGTTCAAACGGTTCTTTTGCGATCACTAGCTACCCACCGCTGCTACAAAAAACAAAGCAGACTGGCTTAGCTCTCTCGTTGATTGGTAGGAAGGAGCATTTCACAGCCTTTTGCTCTGCGCTTATATAATCGTAAACGTACATTTACCCATTCAAAGCATACTATTTAATACTATTTAATCTGCTATAATGCGTACATAAGATAACGGTAATCCTTCCGTCTTGCATATACAATTGATTAGGGTATTTTTTGTTAATATTTACTATTACTTGTCAACGAAAAAGGACATTGATATAATAAGACTAGACGAAGGCCAGTTCCACGAGTAAATGTGTCTATAGATGACTGCTGCATAGAATGTATTACCTTCTACAAACATGCACAGTCTTTTTTTCTTTGTTTTTTAGCTGCCATTTTTAGCTCCGACAATAATAGATCTGGTTAATAATAAAGGTAGCTACTGTACTTAAGCCAGTGTGATGCGTAACACTAAATACTTGTTGCTCTATATGTCTAATAACCTAAAATTCACGTATGAAAACACAGATATGTACCAATAAGGCCTATCTTACGTAAACAATATAATGCGCCATTAGTCCATATATGGGTATCGCATCAACTCAAAGACCTAGCTCGGCAATTTGTTGCCTCTAGTTTGCAATAAAGATAAACCTCTAGTAAGCAGCGTTTACCCATAGATAAGTGAATTTTATGGACAGTGCATGAAATAGTTTCAAACTTTACTATCCAGACATAACAGCGACTACTTGTAAGTTCCGTTTACCATCGGTGACAATTATTCGGTCTGAAAACGAACCAATTGAATCGTATGTGAGAAAGTTGCGTTTCTTATAGCTTCCCTGGTCTTCCATTATTCGTGACACATCCTGGCGTAGGATGGGAGGACCGTATTTCGAAGAGATATTATAAATATACGTGATTTAAACGTCGATCCGTCTTGAAGCTCAACAGTACACAGCAATCTATGAACGAATTAGCAAAGCACGACGAGCGGTGTGGTAAACAAACATAGTATATTGTAGCAAGTGACGCTATCTACGACAAATGCTCAAAATATAAAGCAGACATGTATTTTTCACTATTTGGAAAATATGCTCAACGAACCTTCGGGTTTCAGAGGATAGAAATTCAAGATGTAGTTGGAGATCTGGACACTGTGTATGACATATTTATATGCTCAGACTAACTGCCTCGACTTTGAAAATCATCCAAAGACTTGCTCGTGGAGTTGTTTCTATGGGACTTATGTAACTGGTTTGCCGAAATTGGCTACGTATACTGGGTTATCTCCGAACTGATACTGTTGTTACTAATTGTCTTCGATACATTCCGCTATCTGTTTTCTCCAAAGAACCCTACATAAGTATTTTGGTAGATCTATGGCAACTGTGATGAATCTATAATCTGTGGATGAATCTGTAATGATCTATGGATGAAGTGTTGTTTCAACTTACTTGGTGTTGGGACGAGGTGAAATTTTCGTTGGGGTAGAGCGCCGTGTTGTTGTCGACGTCACCCAACATCGGGTCTGTTGCTCTTTCGGCAATTGATTTACCTCCTACCATAAGCTGTTGATCGTACGATGGGGGACGCATGAGTGCCCCAAAGACAGCACATTGCAGTAGCATCCCCGCTGTGATGATCAACGCCCCTCGCCATCCGTAATAGTTCACAAGAAACTCGATAACTGGTGCTAAAACGAAGGTCCCACATCCTGAGCCACATACCGCGATTCCGGTAGCAAAAGCTCGCCGCCTTTCGAAATACATCGCTACCGAGACGATTGCTGGGAGGTACATAAAACCAAGACCCAGTCCAGTGACCACTCCAATTGAAAAATATAAACAAGTGACATTTGGCGCCCAGGCTGATACGAACAGGCCTACGGCAGCTAGCACTGCGCCGGTGATTGTGACTGCTCGACACCCATACAGATTCGTTAGTGCAGAAGCTAGCGGTCCGCAGAGGAACGTGGTAGACACGAGAATGGACGCGACCCATGCTGTCCGTCCATTAGATTCTTTAAAATGCTCAAGAAATTCAAGGTGGAAGATACCAAATGAGTAGGTGACTCCGTCGGCCAGAACGTGCACCATAAACGAGCAGAACACGACCACCCAACCCCATCCTCCGTCAGGTGGCGCTGCGGTCAAATGTGCCACATCGTCGCTCTTTGATGGTGGTGCACTATTAACTAGCCCGACCCTCCCGTTGGATATTCGGCGACTTGATACATCGGTCGTTGGGGTAGACGGGGGCTCTGTGGGGGCTTGAACGCCACTGACAGCAGGTGCCGTTGCTGCCTTCAGCGGCTTCGAGGGACTCTCGCACATTTCGACGTTTCTGACTGTGTTATTACGAAGCGCTGGAATGATCGTCGCGGCCTGCGTTTCTATTCGCCTTTGGAATGTTTCTCACTTTTCTAGTTTTTTTCGACCTGCCTACGAGCTAGCTTTTATGTTGTGACGAACGCTGTCTCGTGGCGTACTTGTGTCCGATTGACGTTGTTATCTACGATGACACTATGAGGGCTGCCACTGTCATATGGTACTGCCCACGCCACACTTGCACTTGGCTACGGTCCAAGAGCGATACATGCCCTATTTGTCGATAAGGACATTCGGTATTTGTATATCGAAACAGTCAAAACAGCAACAAGAGTAATTAATGCCAATGGGCTCTGTTTGCCTGAGCATCGGTGATTTCGCGTTTACTGTAACATTTGCTGAAATGATGATAACAACAACAATAATACCGCTGTTGCTAACAACAATTGCCGTATAGGTTTTAGATACGATGATGATGACGAACAAGAAAAATAACTACTCGTTACTCTACTGGGCGCAAACACCGCCGTGTTGTTGCACTGTCGCTGAATGCAGACAAAAATTCACTGGAACCCTTTCTATCGGTCGCGGGGAAGCTGCTTATACCACTCGACGGCGTCCAGTTCGGTGCACACTGACCGCCGTGACAAAACAAAACGCCTTATTGATTTTGTAATTGCTGACCAATCTAATGGCGCTCGCAACCTTTGCAGGTGCCAGGGTGCTTCCTTGGCTCCCCTGGCCACTGCAGCAGCGGCTGGGGTAGCCGTGCTCGCGGTGGCTGGATCGGAGTCGCCGCACTGCAGAAAAAGACGACTTTTGGAGCGACAACAGCAATGAAGAGAGCAACGAGATTGCTGCTCGTTGTGCCTCATGGACAGGTCGAACAGGCCAACCTGTCGTCCTGTGGAGGCCAGGTTCAAGGGCCAGAATCGGTGGGCGGGAGCCGCCGCCACCGACACGGCTTTTCGCACGCGCTGCCAGTTGACCGGAGCGATAATACAAATATCTATCGGCGTGGGCCGGATGCCCCGGCCTTGAGCAGATTGTTGTCTTGGCGTCCTCGTCGTTATCTTTTTACCCTACTGTTTATTACAAAGTGTCTTCTTTCGCCACTCACAACGACGACAGTAATAGTAAGGGTAATAGAAGTAGCAGAGAAATAAAATTTCTACTCAGTTTGTTCTGAGTCTGTGCCGCTGCTCAGTTACCGACGTCGGCGTAGCTGCACTCGTCTTCTGACACGAGCTGTTAGCTATCTATTCAGTACTGGTTTTTTGTCGACGGTACTAATAAGAATGGTATGAATCAAAGACTAGTGCCCGAAACTTTGGGTGGATGGCTTTACGCCGAAGGCTTGCGACGACTCAAGTCATTGCTTACCCTCGTCTCTTCAAAGTTGCAACGAACGGCCTCACGCTGTTACGGATACCGTAACTCTATTATTGGCCGTTAGTCGGTTTGTTGGAGAATTCATCATTGGTTACTCGCCATCTGTCACTCTATAACGGAACGCTCAGTTGCTGGGTAATAGTTAGCTTACGGCTGTTGTTGTAGCTTTTAATTTTACAGCTGAACCTAAGCCCGTAATGGGCGATGCCTTCAAACGATGGCAATTCTAAAATGGGAAGCTAAGAAACAGCCAACAGATCGCAGTGGACCACCGGCTTGGACCAGTTACGATGGATCACGCCATGCTAGCATTAGCTGGCTTTTCACTACGTGCAGTGGTCCTTATCCTCGAAGCGAAATGACAAACTGTAGGGACGTTAGTTGACGACACAGTCTTGCACAAATCTTTTTGCTTTGGCTTAAGTCTACAACAGCACGAAAGGCTGATACCGATGCTGCTGCCCCCCTTCTGTGCGTAAGGTATTATCGATTATCGATTGCACAAAAGGACGAAACTGTGTTCACCGTCAATGTAACGCACGTGATCGAGCCGTTTTACTTTTAGAGAGCATAGTCCATTCACTATGACGAGAACCTACGGATCAAACACAACGCAATGAGACACCAAATCGCACAACACCAAACGATGTCACTCACCCTCTGTTAACCGCTGCGTCTGTCTATTTGTATCGACTATCGGTTTGTTGATACCTCGTCTGGTTACTTGGCCAGCTGCCTCTGCTTAGCTTTGTCTGTGACCGCGATGAAAAAAGAAAGCATGGACACGCGGCCTTCCTGTCTGAAAAACGGCGCGACCCTGATCTCCGATGCCAGGCCCGATCAGCTGTTCGAAGCGATTCCTTCTCTGATAGAAGCTCGCTTGCGGCGCGGCGGCCTATGGCTGGCTCTTCGTTGTGCCTGCCACTCAACCTATCGGTCTGCCACAGCGCCAAACTGATAGTTGGCTGACTACGCATACATAAACAGTCAATACCTTTGCGGCGATAAGTGCGCCCCCACGCGACTAGCCCATGAAACTGTCGAGTCCCTCAGAACCATAAAACGAGAACCGTCGTTGCGCAGAGAGCCAGGCACTGCAGTTAAGAGTTGTACGGCTGTACAATAAGCCATCAATACTCTCTGCTGCTATATCTTCTTTGCGATGTCAGACAAGAGGTGTACACCAGCAGCAGCAACGACTGATGATAGTTGGCTTGAGGCATTGTCAACGGGTAAAGGCTATGCGGACCAACTACCTTAATCGCCGCAATGTGATCGCATTCGCGTATCTGGGCTGATACAGGGAGTTCGAGAGAGGTAAACGTTTAGGATAAAAAGGGAAATAATGCGAGTGGAAGAGTGACTGGTCGTGCCGAAACGCCCCGTGAGCGATGCGACGATAATAGCGGTGCTCCTCGACCCGCGTTGGTCTACGTCGTCAAAGAAACGATTGAACGAATTTGATCTCGCAAAGCCAATATCACTCAAAGCAAAGTCACTCATCGTCTTGCTCGGCCCTTCAACTACCCCTGGCATGTTCGCTGTCATTTACCGTCGCTTGTGACACTGCCGGGGTATGGATAGCCAGTATTATATTGTTATAGCAACATCACCATCATTGTAGAGTTGTCTTTTACTTCCACGAATGCACGCTATTGTGTTGTTAGGCAACACCACCCCCTACACCTGCTTACAGTGTATGCTGACGGTACGTAAGGCTGAACCTACTAGGTAGCATAGGTCATCAGAAACCCCGACACCACCTGTCCGTCTCTAAGACAGAGATTCCGTGCGGGCCCACTGCATACCCTTACCCTCAAATGTATATCCGAAGTTTGGCGAAAGCAAAACAGGCTCGTGTCGCATAAGAGATAATGGCGAAGATAAGGGTGAAAAAGAGATGGCAGGCTTTAGTCACTAGGCAGAGTTTCGGCTGTGGTTTACAGGGTAAGCAGCTGTATGAACTCTACATCGTGTACGGCTGAAGATACAGGAGTGACAACTACGACCGATGCTGAGGCATGTCTCAACAGGTAGCCTTACTAGTAGGCAATAGTAACGATATTAATAACATAGAAAAAAAAAGCTTGTAAAATTGACAAATTCGTGTAAGCGGCACGCCTGTAAAGGATCCACCAACTATTTCCTACTAAATAATGTCGAGTGATGTACATAGATACGCAAAGTTTAACGCAAACATCGGCAAAGCTGTCGATTCAAGGCACCGAGCAGGACTAGGCCATTTGAAAATGCTATAGTTGGAACTTCGTGGCCAAAACCTGAGTCGAGAAAATAGAGCTTCTTTGTATGATTATCGCCTACATTGGAATCTGAGAAAATCGTTCGGTTCTCTATAGTTTGCTAGACAAATATCTACAATGAATATGTTATGATAAATTTCCCGGAACAACGGGTACCGTCTTGATTTATTATCACTCGTAGTTATAGAATGTAGAAGATCGATTGTGTAGTTGGCAATTACGACTACAGAAAGCAATTTTCTAAATTTAGATGGTAAGACTGATTCGTTCGAATTGTTCTATTGAGGTAAAGAAGAAGAAACTGTCTAGAAATGTCATACTGTTCAAAAAAATTGTCCCGCATCTGTGTTTTACTGTGGACACGTTATGTTTCCCAGGCCGTGACATGTTGCCATCGTTAAACAACCCAAATCATTTGGTCGTTCGTTAGTACATCGTTGAATGACGCAATGACGGTTCATCTGCCTGCTGTGCCATTCAACCATGCTTTTATCCGACATGATAGTCTCATTATTTTTTTTTTCGAAGCTGATGATTTACGGCCATAATCGTTTTCAAATGCAAAGACGGAACGATTGGCACGAATAAAGCATTAGCGATTTGTCGAAGACGTACAGTTTGTCAGACTGCAGAATAACGAAAAGCCACAAGGTCTGTGAGGCTACTCTCGGATATTTGGGGTATATTGTATGTCGTTAAGGCACAACTTGAAAGGCGAGGTTTTGGAAAAGGGGTCACTTCTACTGGCGTAGATCGACGCGTCTCGCAGACCATTTACTGCGACGCCAGTAAAGGGCTCAAATCATCAAATGAAAAACAATTAAGCCAGTGGCTAAACGCACTATTGTTTAATGAGTTTTTCTTTAGTGTACATAAATCTTTGTTTTTTCTGTTAGTGGTTGTTATTCCGCCATTACGTTTAAGTCCAAGTGACACAATTTGAAGGTTTTGACCTTGGTGAATACGTTTTGCTTGCCAGTGTCACCAGAAATTTTACCTATGACCACTCGGCTTTGCTAAAAGCCGTCTCTGTATGACAAATGTGTGCCATGCGATCATCGCAGTAAATATTTTTGGTAGCCGAGCTATCTGTTTGCAGTAACCACGCTACGCACAAAGGGTCCAGCTGGTGCCATATAGTAGCTTTACTATTTTGTTTAAGCGGTCTAGAAGAGCGTGCAGGCCAAGCTAGGGCCTTATCATGTATATCTTCGCTAGAGAGAATCTCGCTTTTACGTACACAGTCCTGTATGGTGTTCGCTAATACCAGACTAGATTAAAAAAAGCTATGTAGCAGATTCAATTGGTTATACGGATAGAAGTGGTCATGCAATGTCTGCATCGCTAAGAATTACTTGTCCGTAACGCGAAGTGATGTACGACGAGCCCTCTCGGTTCACCTTTCTCGGTTGATCTTACGTAAGGCTCTCCCAAAGGGTAGATTTATACGAGCGGAAACGTGACATATGGGATACTGTCGCTAAGCTTCAAATGTAAAAACTCACGTCTAAGTATCACAAGCGATCAACAACATCTGTTCGAGGCGCAGGCAGGCGAGGTAGTTGCGCTCTTTTTTCTTCAACCCTATATAAAAAAAAAAAAGTAGATTAACCTGTGCTGACCAGTGAAATAGTTATTACTGTTCGTTGCTGCAGCGGAGTTGATGGCCTTAAATTGAGCCTGCGCATTACAGATAGACTAAATAGAAGAATTCAAAATCGAGTAATCGTAGATCGAATCCAGAGCTGCAAGAGACTAGCAGGCGACATAGTACTTAGCTGGAGATAAGTAGCGATTTTTGACATTGTTGAACGGCAGGTTCTGTTATGAATGGATTAGTACTGGCTGAGAACAAACGGTTTTCACCTATGATTTCGGGCCAAATTCTAAATGAGTTTGAAAAAATATCCAGCTAAATCAATACAACAGCCCGTGGTGTTTCGCGTACGTGTAAACCATCTTGAGGCTTAAAACGTTTCATTTCAGTCAAATATTCTGTCTTAGTCAATATTTCGTAGAGGCCTCATCTTGCACAAACGTATCAGCTTTTAAGGGTCACATTTTCTCAATTTATCGATTATAAGTATAAAACGTAAGGCAATGAAATGCAGACTATGAATAATATCACAATATAATAGGAGAATATAATGGCACAAACGGATCCTTCATTAGTGTGCATGAAATTTCTGCTCGTAAAGGAAGCCCTTTAAAATAATCATTGATATATGTCTTGGTGTTAGAGAACAACTTATATATCTATAATTCAGAACCAAGCAAAGAACTTTGTTTTTTCACAGAATCAACAAAGAATTGAAACTACTCATTTACCTCGCTGTACGTACGGCTTACCCCACTCCTGTACTAATGTCAAGATATCAATGTAGAAACATGGTTTGACTATCAGGTGATGACAGGGTTGTGCAATACGTCGAAGATTTGTCGGATTTTTGTCTGGACTCTAAAAGCTAGCAGGCTATCTCCGAAAATAAATATGCTCTCGCTTTATCGCAATGAAGTACTAATGACGGTCATATGCTGACTACCAATCTACGTGCATATCCTACCTAATTAATAAAACTTGGATAGTTAGTTGAGCGTGTAATTAGGCCAAAACGAAGAAGGCTGTGGTATAATCGGTTAGAAATCCAACTCCCTATAACTCTGGTTAAGGATAAATCTAACTATTACTTTCTGGTTCTGCTTTGATTTATCAATCGTACAAAGCCTTTAGATCTTCTTTCAGCGACTGTTAAAATATTCTATCGTGAGTTGCGCTCTTTTGCCAGTTGAAATCGCTATACCCATATTGTGAACACGTATCCTGTTCTATTGCAAGCTTTATAATATAACAACTGTATGAAAATCTAAAAAGGGTTTTCTACGCCGGATTCACTGTGCGGGGAGATGACCATGTGCTGGTCCTACAGCGGCACTCACTCACTCACTCGCTCACTGGCTTTGCGATTTAGTCTTAGCCAGACTTAATCATAACGGCTTACAAAAAAAACAAACCGCCTCCCTCTCTCGGCCCTCTCTCCCTCTCGACCCCAGTTGCCAACGTTCACAAACAGAAATGCTAACTAACTGAGGCACGACCCCATAAGCCAGCTGAAGAAGATTTTGATTCCGCTAAATCCCGAGTAAACACCAAATGGCCTTTGACAGGTCGATCAAGGTCTGAGCCTGAAGGATTGGTTCCCGGCTGGACCTTCTCTGTAGGCGTCAGATATTTAGAAAAAATGTCATACTTATAGTGATTTTTGGCTTATCGAGCTGTTACTGTTCGAGAAGTACGGGAACTTTTAGCTAAGTAAAAGTATTTTGAAGGAGTACCTTTACTTTTTGAGCAGTTGAAGCTTGTCCGTGCGCCTACTTATCCATGTAGTGTAAAAAAATATTTCTGTCTCTTTCACTTAGTTTTGCTCTTATGCTTTATAAGGTTTTCAAGGCATGCGGAGGCCAAATAATTATACGGTGAGGTCTAGATGCCATAGAAGTTTCCACAAGTTAATTTAAAAATAAAGTAACTTGGTGGTTATATGGGTATACGAGCGAAATGGAATTATGGCATAGAATAAATGATATTTTTCCAGTAACTCATATAGCTATTTAAGGTAATTAGATGTACAATGTTATGCATGTATGACATTAATTCAACGATACAATTTATGATTTAACTTCTAAACAGAACTGCAATATTCATTTTTTGCAGAAAGAAAAGAAGAAGAAGATTATAAATTATATCAAATACTGAAAGCTACCCACGTTACAAATTAATCAACACGCTAAATATATTATATTAATTGCCATAGCTCAAGTCATCTATATAACTTCACAGTAGAATAAATAAGTTTATTTTTTATTATTGTCATTATTACTATTGACAACTTTCTAAACAGTAAATTCTACAACAAATAGGTTGTTCCTCGAATAGCTTGCCTTTTAAGTTCTGCCAAAATCGAAGACGTTCATCTCTCATAAACAAACTCAGAAATATGGGAACAACCTCGTATTACGCTAATTTTGCCTTAACCAATAAAAAGGAATCGCAAAATTCAAGGTAGCTAGGTTCTTCCAATCTATTTTGCAATTAAAAATTGCATATATACTGTATTTGCTCATTAAATAAAAATCCCGTTTTGTTACTTCATTTATCATTCTGCGTTCGATCAATGGACGGCGCATGAATCTCCGTTCTGAATTCGTCAATACGAACGGGTCGCAAACTGGTACATCACAATTGATTTCTGACGTGTTCTAGTTAATAAGAAGCGTAGAGAATTCTTATCTGCTGTATAGGTTCCATTTGGGCCTCACGAATAACTGCGCGTTATTGGTCAGTCATACACTTTTGTAATGATTCGATTTACTAAAAAATTATCCGATGTTGGACTAGAATATGAGGTTGTCGCCGAGAACGCGCCCAGGAGTGAATGGTAGTGGAACCTCGTCTGCGGAGATGGCTAATGAATATTGACTTCGCAGGGAGGTCTCCAACCCTTAAACTCCTTTTCAAGTTCAATTGCCACCTGACAGCAAACGTTATCCTTCATTTTTCCAGCCACGACTGTGACGCCGAGGGGCATCCCTTGCGAGTTGAGGCCCAATGGAACTGTGAGTGCAGGAAAACCCAAGATGTTCCAAATACCTAAACAGGCCATAAAAGGGAAAAAAGTGTGATATAAAGGATTAAATAACGTTCTATAATAGGACAATCTGTCAGCTCGATTTTACCGCTACCTCATTTTTGCTTGTTTTATAATTAATATTGCATTTAGAATTCTGAGATGCCGAACGCTAATTTAGGCTATTTCATGCTTGTGCCTCGAAACGTTGTTAATAAGCGTGATCCTGATGTGTTTCTCCGTATGTTTGAAAGTCAAATAAGGACTTCCCTGTTTTGGGAGAGTGGGTCAGGTATAATGTTTATGAATATTTTTATTCTCTCTTCTAATGCACCCCTCCTAAACCTACCTAAAGATTAGTATGAGAGACTGTAGTTATGCACGAGATGAGAAACGATTCAAGAAACCGTTCTTCTTAAAATCAAGCAAATTTCATCCATCCAACCTTATTAACTAGACTCATTTGTAGCTTACCAGTTGTTCCCAAGATTCCAGGACGAAGAACGGTTAGTCCATGAAATGGGGCAACATCAGGAAGAGTAGGTGTGACAAGAATGGCATCCTCCAGAAGCACTTCTAGTTCCTTTTCCATCTTCTTGCTTAGCTATTAGAAAGGTTGACAAAACAAATCGTTTGTAGATCGTGCACATTTATTTTATCTTGATATATGAAGCGCTTACTCCATTGTGCTGGAGAACGTCGATCTTCCCATATATGAATATTGTTCTATTCGTTCTAAAGGAAAGGCCCGACTCTATTGAAGGATCCTGCTGATATGTATTAGAAACTTAGCATGAATGCAGTTAGTACGGCCTCGCTATAAACGTTGTTTCTATAATACCATATCGTGTCATATTTATATTTTCTGGTAATAACTACACGTGTGTATGAGAGTTTAATAGTAGAACGTACATTATAGAAGTAGTTCGTAATAGGTGAATTCCGGTGTCCAGCTATAATTAACTCCATAAGGGTGACGATTAGGGCTGGAAAGTTGTGCTTCGACATGCCTAAGGCCCACTTTATCTGTTATACGAAACGATAAAAAAAAAACCGATAATGATTAGAGTACAGGAATATAGTAAGTACCTTGTTATTCACTAGGTAGGTGTCAACCAGTTAGCCGAATAGCATGTACAGAAGACCACGTCTAATGTATAGACAATCGATTGCCTATCACAACCCACTGAAAAAATTATACGGCAGAATTCAAACTTTTCCTGTGATGAGAAGAAACGCCACTTCGTCGATATCTTTTATGTGCCTACAAAGTATGTCGCCCGTAAAGTAGTTTATTTGTACGGATTAGAAACATAGAACCTGCTTTAGGTTTCCTGCTGTAAACAATACCTTAACAATGGGAAAGAATAGAAAAATATTTACAGTAATTTAAAAAAAAATTGTCCTAACACCGCTGGTTTAATAGTAGTAGTTTAATAGTACTTGTTTAATTTTAGCTAGAGTTATGTCGTAACGTTACGCATGTATAATCTCAACTTTCTCACTACGAAAAACGCTGCAGGCAGCCTCGAACAATTATTCCTTATGGCACATTATGTTTTCGAGTATACCGCTCACGATTAGATATACTGTCGTGTATATACAATAAGAATACATTTGGGAAACTATAAAGAAATGTGTTATTTTAAGTAAAATAATAATAGACTAACCGTGATAAAATTTGGCTATGCCGTAAACTAGATTTGCATAGGCTTATTGATGAAGACCTTCACCGTACCACGGAACAAAGTCCTAGCATACTATCGGGTTGAACATCTGAATGGGTAAAAATGTTTATGGAGAAAAAACTATGCTAGGTATTGTAATAAAATATCACTCCAAACAATGTGAAACCTCAATCTGAAAATACCACTTCTTAGTATAACTCAGACGCACCCCAAATAGGCTAATTCTCTTCTGAACGAATCTTGGATTGGTTCCAACGTTCAACCAAGGAAAAATGGATATAGATGTTTCGGCATAATGCACAGTGATGAATATATATGCATTGTTAGCATAAGCAGAATAATTTATAGATGACAACGTACAAGTTCGCGTCCTGGATGAATTTTGCCCTTGCGCATTGTAAGCTCTTCCGCGAAGGTCGGTATATCAGCCTTGGCAAGATAGGCGATATAGATTTGGGTTGCTTTCGCCATTCCTGTACTAATCGATTGCCCCGCTGGTAATTGAAGCGTGACTGATTTTGAAAATGTAGCAATAAAGTCAGCAACCTTGTGGGTCCACCGGCGTAGCTCAGAGGTACTTGCCGGAATGATGGGACAGTTAAGATCCTCCATGTAGTATACCTACAATGAAAGATTACCATAGTATGCGCAGTGTCAGAAATGCATAATAAATATACCTAGTATAAAGTTGATTACCTCAATAAGTTGCTTGGACAGTTAGGGTTGAAGGGGGGTGGCCGATTTTAGTCCCGTTATGTGGCACACACGTACACTCTCCGTGTGAAATAGAGAAAGTTTATGCTAACTAGTTTTCATCAAGATTTTTTTAATTAGAACGCTATAGGCTAAAGCGAAACTACAACACCGGAATAAAGAAAAGACGCCATTGAGAATATGTATATATATATATATATATATATATATATATATACCAAAATCAGCCCTTTTCAGTTTGGTGGTAATTTTCATCTCATTTTATATATTGAACCGTTTAGAACCTGCTGAATAGTGCAGTAGTATTTTTACTCAACTTAAAGATCGCTTAGAACTGCTTCCCGCCACAATCGCCGGGTATTTATTGCCTTTGTACCTATTACGGTTAGTGATGCCTATCCGAGGTGAGGTATAGATTTCAGTTTTAAATATAAACACAAAGTCATGGGACATCAGCCTAAGAATGGCTCAAGAATTACGTTAATTAAAATACTTTATTTTTACTCTGAGCGAAGGTCAGCTCGAAACCACAAACGTTGTCGAGATGTCGATCTAAAACCGACGCGAGCCCGGATATAGAGCCCGATCTAGTACCTAAAGGAATGTGGACATATGCACCAACTTATCCTTTTTGTTGAAGTCCCCGAAGTCGAAGTTCAATAAAATGATGGCAATTATCAGCACTAAGCAAAAGTACTTTCCAACTAAACAATCTAATTGCACGAGGCTCGATCGTTTAACTAGAAAAGCACACATATGGTCCGGATTTGAAGTCGGGCGAACGCGCAGTTCGTTTCGTACTGGGGGCAACCCGATAAAAACAACTTTCAACAACCGTTATAGGCGTTAAACTTTCATAATTTTTGATTTAGCTTCCGTATCTTATCTCCGTAGCCTTCGGTAAATTATTATCCTCACCTGAACAACGAGAGTGAGCACTACCACAAATCGTAAGGGAAATCATACTCCGACAGTTCAAGAAACATTCCTTCTATTGCCGGTATCCGGAACTTAACTGTCTATATCGCTATATTCTCTTGGTACTATTTAATTCATTTTGAGCTGAAAATCTCTAGTCCCTCCTCGTACTTCACCCGACAAATTATTTCAACAACAAGAGCTATCAAAAACTAAGTGTTCACAAACCGAAGATCTAGGAACTTCTATTAAAGATCACTGGATTCCGTACTGTTATATTCTACCATCTATTTAAGGTGTAAACGTTTATTCTATTTAGCCCCTTTTTTAAGCGAGAACCCGCAAATAAATATTGCATTGAAGAAGGCATTCGTGAAGTTTGTTTTAGGAAATACTCCCTTGAAATTGCTAACCTTGAGGACAGAAAGATCAGGGCTCTCGTTCAAAGCCATCCTTTTAGCATTTTCTGGTCCGACAATTTGAGCTAGTAGTGGTCGAAGGTCTCTGGCATGCTTGCACATCGGACCGGCCGTCAGCAGCGGGGCCAGAATATCTCCTGCCATTGGATAGTGTCCAGTAGTGTCCACAGTATCTTTAAGTAACAGAAGACATCATGAAACAATATATTTCTTTTCTTTCTATACTGTCATTTATTCTTTAGAAGATACCATCTGCGCCTAGAAGCCATATTGTAAAAACTAAGCGCTAAAAAAGTTAAACGCCTGAACATATAGTTCAGCTTAGGTATAAATGTGAGCGGTAGATTTTATAAACGTTAACATACGTATTGTCGGCTTGAGTCCAAATAGTCCATTGTAGAATGACGGTATTCGAATACTGCCGGCGATGTCAGTGCCTACTCCAAGCGGGGAGCCACAGGCCGATAGAATAGCACCTTCCCCGCCTAATTGAAGGCTCATACGTAACAAAGGTCGAGAACAATATGATATATTAACCTACTAGATATCAGATCAGTAAATACAACTGTTATATCGAATCATATAGTGATCGAGGTTGATAAAGGCTAACTTGGAGTAACTTCTAATTTAGATGTAGGGTATATATATAGTAAAGGTTTGCTACAACTGTCGAATAGCTATTTTAACAAATGCTGCCAGACAAAATCGTATCGACATAGCGATAGTTTAATTCATGTTTCATTCGCCAGGCTTCATTATAAATGCTGTTGAGGCACTTTTTAGGTACTTCTTTTGACTAATATATATATATATATATATTTTAAGCAGATTAATTTTATTGTAGTATGGTCTTCAGATGACACTGATAATGAGTGGTATGTTGTATCTTTTATGGAAACATAGCTTGATTATTATATCTGCACTTAAGTATTAGTGTTAATTTTGTACCAATTGACTTCAACTGAGTAAATAACATGTAGCTCAACGAAACGTTGATTTTTCTAGTGAACAGCATTTACTAAACAAAGCTAAGAATAGAAGAAATGCTCACTGCTATTCTCCTTAAACACTGGTCTTTTCTAAGCAGCTCGTGTCGATCTATAGATTGCACCTATATATAAAAATGACACTAACTAGATCTAGTTAGAATTTTCTGCAGGATTATTAAATTAAAGAAGAACTTAACTTGAGCAGAGTTTTGGCCATATTTCACAAGTTGTTCATGGCGGCCCAGAAAAGTCAATAGCCGTGCAAGATGGCCATTTGGTATTTCATAATAGCGCACAGGGTCATCATTATTGCTATTGTCTGTTGACACAAGTTGCTATGGGTCAATGATAATTTAAGCTACGATACATTCATCAGTAATACCTATTGATTTTTAATACAGCTTATGTCCTATAAGAAGGAAAAATTCCCTTGAGGACGATAATGCTAGCTTCGCATGAAATCCTATCTCTATTAACTTGTAATTGTTAGCCCGCTCCCCCGAACTGTGTGGAATCGTTCAATAATTAAATCTGAAACGCCGATTTAACGTGCTAGATCTAACGTCTTGGCGAATTCAATGAGACTTTATAGCATATTCTTATCTGAGAAGGACGTTAATTACGATCGCTAAAATCATTACTTAGGTTTTTCTTTTCGATAGCGAGCAGCGACATTAAAAAAAAAAAACGTTTCCGACCAATGATTATACACGCAAATATCGTGTTGTGCAATTATTGCTCGTTTGACGGAAAACATTTCGCTAGTCATAAAGGTGTATAGGAATAATAAATTTCTACTAGACTGTTTTAACACATACTTTAATTTATATAAATTATACAATGAAATGAATTTATTTTCTTGAAAACCTTGTTCTTTCATAAATCTCCGTAGCAAAATTGATTCGGTATGGGTACTTGCTTGCTTTATCTTATCAATGTAACTTTTCTTGACTGATTTAAAGAACAGACGTTTTTTCAGCCGCCATATGTACTTTAGGGTATTATTGATATGCAAGCATATACGAACTGCTTTTGAGACGCTCCTGTCTAGTTGTATGATTTTGGTACGTGGCGTACGCAGTGGCAAAATCGGTGAGTATAATATAAATCACCCCTATTGACGTAAAGACGAGATATGTCGCACGCATCAGTGTCGTGCGCCGTATCTTGATTGAGGAAGAATACGGCAGCGTCCCGTATTAACAAAGCCTTGTACACTTTCCTCACGTAATAACTACGGTTTATAACTTCTTCTTACGCAGTGGTTTCAGGAACGATGCTACTATTGCTACAAAGAAGGTTAGCTTCAAAGATCGATAAGTAAGATCCATTTTAGATAACTGAGTGAAAGCGTAGGCATTTTGCTTTTCAAACAACATGCTTTAGGAACGAAGTTTAGTTTGATAAACATCTTGAGAACATGAACGAATGTAACAAGGAAAACTAGACCGGCACAATTTTCCCATTTGAAACGATCGTATCTACGTTAAAATCACCCGTCCGCAGCCTACATAATGGTCAAAAGTATCTAGATCGCAAATATTGGAAAATGCCCCCATATTTATGTGGACAGATGTATGTATACACTAGCATTGAATACTTAGATAATCTATCATGCTAATTATACATGGCAGCTCTTTGAACGGGCAGTTTCTATATATATTCTGTAGATATAGAAAATCTATACCAGTAACATCAATTAGTGTTGTTTCCCCTATTTGTCACTGTACCATTGGTCCGGTGGCTCCGTTCCAAATTAGCGCCTTTTCACATGTCGTCTGCACATATAGTGTAAACACTACCGTTATCCAATTATTAGCGTTCCGGACGGATAAAGCGATCTTCGGAGTTCGATTTTTCGTCTCCGAATAGCAGGCTATTGAAATTAACACTTGTAACTGGTCGGGCGCATCAACTAGCAGTTCAGACAATTTCGAATACGGCCGCGTTCGTATAAGGCCGTCTATCGTTTGGCAGAAGAAACTGATGACGAGACAGCCGCGCAAAGATTGCGTCGATGCAACACTAGCCGTATATTCAGATATCAGCCATCAGCTAGTTGTTGCATCTTTCGATTTTACATGTACGGTTTCTGGCTGTTTCTATTGCTGTTAGGCAATCCAAATACTCGCATAGATACACACGCACCCACCCACATATTATGCAGTATTACGAAAAAGAATGAGCAATCACCATATCGAACCAGCCATGGTAGACAAGATCAGCAGGAAATAACTCGCTTTACCAGAGGCTTCTGTTTCAATCATGTTTCTGGAAATTCTCTATCCTCTCTGTTTACGATTACAGCGATCCATATTCTGTGTTGAATGTCGGCCATTGAATATCAGACAGGTAAAAGGGAGAACATAAGGGAACTATGGCCACATGAATTGATTCGGCATACCCTTTCTGGCTGTCTTTGTAGAACGTTGCCAAAGTTTTGTTATATCTTACATTACAAATCTGCTTAGGGGCACCAGAAGATCGTAATGGCCAGCCTGCCTGTCTGCCTTGACATCTAGACAGTAAAATCTCTAATAAACCGTAACAATAGGTAATATGTGTAATAGGTGTCGTAAGCAAGAGGACCTGCTAGCGGCAGAGATGATTAGAAAATCATTATAATTATCCGTCGAGGAAGCAGAAACTCTTTACAGACTTTAGACGGCCATGGTTGGTTACTATTTCGGATTGCCTCGAATAATTGGCATTCAAAGACGTTGGTATAGGGACGCCATTTCTTTGCGTTCTGTCGTCTGCGTAAATTCATTTTTCTAGAGTGCGTTTATGAGCCTGAGTGCTACTTAAGTTAAAATACAATGGAAAAATATAGTAAGGGAGCCTGCAGAAGCTCTTTATTTTAAATAATTTTTTAACATATGACAATCTTAAATGCAAGACAAGTAACACACTCTGCGTATAGTGTGTCTCTAATTTCAGACGAGTCGGAGCACTAACCCTTCACAGGTGGAAATTTTGATGACTTTTTATAATCTAAACTAATGGCGTCGCTTCGCCCCAAGTGCATATGCAGACCCCGATAATTCGTGGGGAAAAACAACGCCTGATTTCTAACTATAATATGCTCACTATGCATCGCAATTATTTATTTGCCTGGATTTTTTTTCTAAATATGTACAATATATAATAATAATAATTATTAACTGCCTGACAGATCTGTTGGTTGAAACGGTCCAAAAATATACACGCCTACACAGAGATGCATAGCTATTTTAGATCGTCCCCTCATACAGTAACGTTATCACTGAAAAAGCGCTCTGTGTCTAGATAAATGGTCCTTGCTCATGCCGCGTCGCACAGCCTCTTCTTTGTCACTTGCCAAATTTTACAATAAGATCGCTCTTCCGTCAGTACCCTCCATATAATTGCTCGTCGTTCTTCGCCAAAGTAAAAATCGCGCCTTTTTGGAATTTCCTTTCGGGATTCATGCGCGAGTGTACGTGATCGAAGTAGAAAATTAAAAACAAACACAAGTGATTAGGGTCTTTTTGCGACCATTCTTCGCACGAAACGAGTCAGTCCGCTAGCCAACAACGTAGTTTGCCGCTGTGAAAACAATGGAATAAAGCTAAACTGCTTTCCCTTTCATTAGGCCAAAAATATTCTGTCCAGTGTCGTTATGACGGCCTCACAGTTACGTAACATTGCGTCAAAGGCATTTACGGATTTTGGCACTCTTCTTGTTTCTGTGACAACAATGCGATTGTTTCTACAGCATAAGAGAGCTGCTAACTAATTGAGAGAACGAACTAGTTTGCACCGCGCTGACGATAGCCAGAAGATTCATATTAGGCTCTTGTCGCCTGGCAAAGCGGAGGTAAGAAGTTAAACATGAGAATTTCAATAGTTATTTGTATCATATACGTGTAAAAGCGTCAATTACTAAATCGATTCGCGGGACGATTCAAGAGAATTTGCGGATTGTCAATGAGCTGTATGTGCATCGAATCCTATTTAGCTTCAAATACAAATTAAAGCCATTTCCTGTTTAGTTATGCTGTTAAAATAGTTTCATCAAATAGGATAACTTGAGTGATAGGGATCTGAGAAACGTTATTAGTGAAACTGATCGTATAGTTTGAAAATATGGGTAGACGAGAGTGAGCCATCGTGAAGTACGACACGTGACCTTTGCTTTTGGTGCAGTACCAGCGTGAAAAGCTCTTGCCCTGATGATTTATGATATGCGGACGCATATAAACGAGCAAAATGGGGCAATAAATAAATGAACGGAGCATTTCTGGATATAAACAGACTCTTTTTTCAACAGTCGAGCACGGCGTCTTCGATACATTCGTTTATAATATTCAGACTATCGAGTTCAACTTGTTAACTAGAATCACGACTACATTTACAATTAGCAAGCAACCTTAGGTACCTCTGGGTCTTCTGCACAGCGGTTTATATAGCCCCTGCTAGGCATTATCGTTACAAAATCATACTATCAACATATGTCATTGGTAACATTTCGGTCACACTCGTCAAGCACTGATTTTGTAGCCAAAATCTTTTTATGTTTCGCACAGTTTTCTCCGTTCTTAGGGTTTAAGATATATCCTGAATTTCGGAACTGCGTCAGTCCATGCTAGCTACAATCTCGGGATTTATCGATGCGTACGTTATAGAATAACAGCTTTCCGTCTTGCAGGCCACCTAAGGAGCGATTCTGTATCTCACTCAGGATTTCTCGGAAGCATGTTTACTGAAACGATGACCTCTCATTAACTTGCGCAATTAATTCGGCATTAGAATGTACTTTTTCTACACATACGCAGCTGATTCCACTTTCTTCAAATGTTGCCTAAGGAGCACTGAACCCGATCTTTAGGCCCGGCTCCCTTGTAGTGCCCACACAGCTTCGACGAATTGATTAAAAGTTGCGCCCTATATAGGCTAAGGAAGCGTTCGGGAGTTGCTGTCCTTCCGGTAGGACATGTCTGTAGAGCTTAGCCTTAATTAATGTATAGATACCCACCGTCCATGAATCAAACTAAAGTCCAGAATAATTCCTGCAGACCCCAAGGTGTTCTAAGTATTACGTCATCAAAGGCTACCCGTAGGGAGCTACTAAACTTCGTACAATTCGGCCTACTTGTCGGACCGAACTTCGCTGAATTCAGTACAGTACCCAGGACATTCAACTAACGTCTTTAACGAACTGACAGAGCTGTCTGTTTCCAGCCAAAAGTTGAAGAGGTTTAACTTATGAACAGGTAAATATTAGTGCGCTAGGTTTACTTCATTTATCACTCATAGCGATTTGTGTACAAATGGGGAATAAACATGCGGTACTAGGTAGTCCAATACGAATAAGTCGTTTGCACTTAGCCAGTCAGAAGCTGTTCGTTCACTTTGTGCAGATGTGGCGTGTGACAGAAAACAGTTATGTGTAAAAAGGTCAAAAACATTTAAACGATGTTCCTACGACTACTGAGAGTAGATAGACACGTAAGTGACTCCTCGATTCTTAATACTACGTAAATTGGCGAATACGTGTCGTCTTTGCTCTTACCACTTGAGCCTCCGCAGGTTCTTCTAGTATCGTAAGGATTGCGAGTTGTGCCGAAAAGTTTGTTTCTACTTTCTAGCCAGAGACAAAGTTCAGGAGTGTTGGTAACTGCAAGAGGAATGGCACCTGCCGCGCGGACAGCACCCATCACAACCGAATCCTCGGTGGCCTTGATGCCACGGCGTATATACAATCCCGATTCATGACCGAGATCTAAGAACATAAGTCATAATTAATCTACAGTTCTGGCTGCTTTATGAAATGTCAAGTTCGAGACATAATTTACTTATCAAAAACGACAAGAAAGCAGTTTACTTTTCCAATGTTTTTCTGCCTTTTTTCTTCCTGCAGACTAAACCTGAAACATATATGGACTCTAATACTTCTAGTACAACCTGTTTAAATTGTTTTAAATCGAAGGCAAAATTATAGATTACGGTGAAAGAAACGCAAGGGATGCGGATAAAAAAAGTTTTCGAGAAACGAAACTTAGTGACATTGATTGATAGTTCTTCTGTATTGAGTAATCCTTAGACAACATACAAATCGAAGATTAATTAGCCAATAGTACGAGTTAAAAACGTCTATGCAATACCAGTGTCATATTTTAATACTGGCCGTCAAATGCACATACCCTTGACCGCCAGAGCGTTCTTTGTCGTTATTGGTACCCCTAAGAATGGTTTTGTTTGTCTCAATTCTTCAAGGCGAACGGTATCTCCTCTGCAGGAGTCCAACAATTCATCCACTTTTCGAGCGTCCTCGATTGCATTCTGGTATCTGTAATTTATATTTTTGGTAGACTTAAAACGTTCTGTCTTTTAATGCATTGTTTCCCCCTTTAATTAGGGGTTTAACACAGGGGAAAAGTGCACATTTAATTGCGCAAAGGATTCAAAAGTGAGCTTTCGCATCGATGCTTTGTTCTGTGTGATTTTGTTTTGTACGATAAAATACGAGTTCCTATTGCTAATAGAGACCCGTTTCCTATCAAACCTACGGAAGATAAAAACCGAGGTTTACGAGCATACGCAGCTCGCCTGCAAACCCTACAGTCCCCCCCATCCTACGATCACGTAACGGAACCCCACCCTTGTCAGCTTCGTTATTCAGCATTCATTGGATATGCTTGCATTCAATTGGTGAGAGCTGAATATTGGGGTTTTTTTTTTCAAATTAGAGATGTAAGTATTGTGTGACAATTTCTCTCAGAAAGCTAAGGGAAACTCAAAGCGTAACGCCTATTGTCAATCCGAGCTTCAAAAAACAAAAGTATTTCAAACTCACTTTGTCATCATTTAATCAATATTATTTATTTTTAATTAACGTAGAGAAAATTTTACCTAACGAGCAAATCGCACTGGCACTGCTGATTGCTCTTCTCAACGTATGACTGACTTGTCTTCAGGTGTACCATTCAAATGGTAATGCTTATTTGAAATGATACAAAGGTTTAGTTCAATGAGAGAAACTATTAGCGGCGCTTCGACCTAGTCCTTAAACATTACAATCGTATTATAGCAGCGAAAGATAATAATATTGATTACAAGTCATCAAACAAAAGGTAACTCATATTAGAAATTAGGAGCATCTTATAGGGCATCTCTTGAACGCCGCAGAACAGAATTTAGATGGATCAATCATTCACCATTATTTCAAATAGACCTAGAATTCAGCTCAAAGATGTCAAGTTATAGACAAAGTTGGTCATTTAAAATAATGCAAACAGCTCTTTTACGTAGAAAGACAACAAGCAAAAAGCTGATTTGGACCACAAGCACTGGGCAGGCCGCGAGGCCTGCCCTGGGCCAATGTTGGCATCGGGAAAATATTGTAGAAGAGTATAGGATGCTTAGTTTTAATAGCTAATTATCAAAAAGCCTTTTTATTCTGATATCCTATATCCGAAGTGTAATGATTCTATTGTACTTAAGTATCATATGATATTTGATGAAATATATGATCACGCGGTATTAGATATGATACAATAAAGCCGCTCGTTAGCATTTGGCGATATGTCGCACCTGTGGCATAAAAGCATATATAGGTACTGAAAAAGTAAATATTTATTAGGCCTAACTGTGAGCGTACGGGAATACATGTGATGCAGTCAAAGATTCGTTATTTCCTTTGTAAACGATAGAAATCCGTCATGTTGAATAAAAAGCACAAATTGCAAATGGCGGTTTAAACATGTCACATGCGCATCATTCGGAAACACTACAGGAAGCAGATATAAGAGACATATCAGCGTTTGATATCGATGAAAATCGTTGTAAAAATAAAATGGAGCAATACATAACACAACAATATGTGAAATATGTAAAACAATTTATAAAATAATGAAATATTATTTCAATGTAAGTCGCGCAATGTCAATTGAACGCTCTTCTGCCAATTAGTCCCAGCAAGATTAGGGCCTGTTTGTTTCTTACTGTACAAAATAAAAACTTCACATTATTAACTTACTGCTTGAATTTATAATTTCTACAATGCCCTATATATAGAGGGAAATGGGGGGCTCTTTTTAAGCGCAGTAATAGTTTTTATACGAGGAAAAAGCCGCCAGCTTCAATGCGCTTGATCTACGCGGTGTCCGGCCGGAATAGAGATAATTTTCACATTCTGATTTGACGCCACAGCCTAGTAATTGAATTCTTATCCAGGCAGTAAGGTTCATTTCAAGATGAATCGCGCCAGGCACTAAAGGAGAACTACAAAGCTACCGTTTATATCCGCTTCTCGAATGAGTTATGAAATTCATTGTCATAATTTACAATTGAACTTAGGACAAAACCGACACGCGGGCCGTAGCTTTCGTAGTGAATGAATGATAAGGCTAAGTGATGTTATAACCTTGTGTTTGGTATCCATATAAAAACGGTATTACTACTGTCGACAAATAAAGGGCATGAACTGGGACGAGAGCCTACTCAGGCCATATTTGTAATCGGCGATTACTCTTAAAACTAGGCAGATTAATAAAGTTTAAATGGAAACGTATTCAGCAAGACCTCTAATTCGAGGTCCGATTATGCTTTTACGGTCAACTCTCCAAAAACTTAGTAGCATATATTATTCGAAAATAAGTTATGTAGGATAAGTTTGGGACAATAACTAAAATATCTTTTATTTAGCCGAAATGTTGATTTTAGAAGATCCGGTTGTGCAGCTATAATTTACCTTTCATCGGTGACTGCATTCAGTATCGGGTTGATATTGCGAAGTCTTCTGATAAACGAACCAACAACATGTTCGCTCGTCAGCTAGAAATAATAATGGTTTATTATTGATGTACGCAAGAAATTCATTTCATTCAACGATAACGTTAGACGATAGGATCATGAAGTGTTTTCCAATATATCCCACGGCTAATAGCGATGTATGCCAAGCGACATTTCACCTTTCACCTGTCCTTTAAAGGCACATTATTTTCAGTGATAGGTTGCCCATTATTTCAACGCTAGGAAGTATTATTATTCGTGTAAAATCGGCTCTGCTCTTGAGATTTCTCGGGATAGTCAACTGTTTAATAGAGGAATGTTTTCTATTTTATAATGATGCTTTGTTCAGTTACCGCACCTGAAAAACTGATACGTTCCTGGTACATGTTTACAACATGTGTCAGGAATATATATTCGAAATTTAGCTGTAATAAAAAAATTATTTTGCTCACAGCTGAATTTTTTCCTAGTCCCTCATGCAGGCCTACATGCTAAAAGCGAGCATCCATAATTCGATTACTACCATACTATATATATATTGGTTAAGAGCATTTAGCGTTTACGCGTCACTTGACAACTGCTTTAGCGACGGAGTTCATCAACAAATATATATTTTCCCACCCTAGATAGGGTACTCACAGGCCTTGACAAGCCCGCGTTACGATTCAAACTGAATATGTAATATGGTTGCCAACTTAAAAAGCTAGCTAAAAGCTATCTCCCTCTCCGCAGTCCATAGTCACCTCTCTCGAGCGAATCTTGTCTGCGATTTCTGTAGCGCTCATTAGCAATAATCGATCATTAATCGGTGGTATTGTGGCTTTCCACAAACCGTGTCGAAAGGCCGAGATCAGCGGGAATAGTACATAATCAGATATGCGAGCCATCACCGTCAGCGCCCCCAACAGGAGTCGTAGCGTGATAGTCTGAATAGTAGACACTCCTCTTGTCATTGTTTCGAAACCTGAAAATCAGCCAGACAATATCCTAGGTTGAGGTAGAGTTAATACGATACTGATTATTCGATTTACATGAACTGTAACAGCTCTGTTAGTGTTTTAGGACGTAGCGAATGGTGACAATGGGACTTGTTGGAAAGTACTTTAAATAAGCGACGTTGTATCGTAGATTGAGCGATACGATCTTAGCTCAATTCTTACTGTAAACTGGTGACCGAGCGTCATTATTTCTGTCACATATTTTCTTCAAGTCGTTCCATATAGTTGTTCAATATATGCAATAGTTGTTCCAACTATTGCCTGACACAAATTCACTAGCCGTGTAATACTTGCTGACCTACCGCGTTCAAGCAAACCTAATATATAGCGACAGAGCATCTTTTAATCGTTCGATACAATTTTCACGATCAGCACAGTTGGCTTGCGCAGTTTATACTAACAAACGTTGGAAAATGTATATGAAATTAACAAAAAGCTGATACCTCAATGAGACATACAGTAAATAACGTACATTTTGTTACAATTTGACAACTTTTGCTTGTAACCAGGATAGCAAAACACTGACTGTTGCTTACAGCTTTGGTTTGCATACGCCTCGATAAATGCCTCCGCAACGCTGCGGTAGAAATGACGATTTACTAGCGCATAAACCAGTGTGCTTAAAGCACGTGAAATGTTGAGTAGAAAGATTTCTATACCATGAATCGGGTTTCGTTCATAGAATCATGCGTAGTACTCAATCATAAACAAAATACAATAGCCACTGCTATATAAAATTAACCGTATAGCTGTCAGGAAATGCTCCCTTTCATATTCGACCCGAGCAAGAACATGTCCGAGATTCGTTTGTATCCGCAGTTCATCTAGAAGAAGCCTATGAATATATATATATATGTATATATATACATATATATACGTGTCCCCTCCCATAATTTTAGTCACTACCGAGCTCTGTACAATGATCGTATCACACATATATAGTCCTCTTAGACAAATATCTAAAACAGTGCATCATCTCTGTCTCATTAATCGACTGGTTGTAGATCGTTACCGTCCGAGAAGCGGTACGAACGAAGAAAACATACAGCACTATTGGAGCTCATGTTATACGCCCATTGAAATCGTTTGCTCGGATAAAATCTAGGGCACATACTCCACAACCTGTGTGAATACACGATCTAATAATCAACTCGGACAAATACGAAATAAGGACATGGTTCAGGTAAAGGCAATAGTTGTAAACGATAGGCCAACCTTTAAGGACGAACGTGACATGAATACGAACGTAGTTGCATAGAACATTAGACGGCTACGGTTATTCTGTGGCAGTAGACCTTTCAGAGAATTATGGCATCAAACTCGTGTACGTAAGTATGTTCGCAGGCAGTAGCCGCTGACTCAAAGTCGTTGGCTATATAACTATCGATAGGCAATCGACTCCTACATCTTTCTGCCGAAATGCTTTAAAGTTCAGCAAAGTGACTTTTGATTAATGCAGAATCTCTATCAAGTTAGGTATTACAATGACCTACTAATTGATATATCAGCCGTCAGACGGACAAAGGCAGCGTAATTCAGTGGTCTTCAAACTGACCGCAAAACGCGATGTCACAAGTAACGAGGCAGGGTACGAACCTTTGTAGTTAATCTCAAGTAAGACGTTACGCCAATACGATGCGAACCTAGATTGTATCCAACCCACTCATAGACTTGAGTCCGCACAGATTTGTCACGTCTTTTAACACTGCATCAGAACTTCAACTGCAACTTAGAAATGCCATCTCATTATCATTCCGCACCTTTAACTTTGCATCACAACCGTGTTATCGTGTAACTCAGAAAGAGATGTTGCGATTGTAAAAAGCTTCTAAGTAACTAGCAGCAACCTTTACACAGACATAAGAAATGGTAGATTGTGCCTTTTTATCAGTAAAAAAAAAAAACGCCACGACATCCTCGTTAACTGAATAAAATATTTTATCAATAGAAATAAAACGGGCATAACTCGCGTTTTAAATTTAAAAAGAATATTACTGTATGAAACTCACACAATTCATATCACGCGTTGAAGGACGACAATAGGGCACTTAGATATCGTTCGTCGCGCCGAACAGCCTGGCTTAAGTCTATTTTGTAAAATTGAAAATGTCATCAAATTTTGCCTGTTTTTTTTGCTCCATTTTGAACGTGTGACCACGAAACGATTAGCGACCCGTTCGACCCACGAGTCTCAGCGTTTTCGTGTCATTGTTTAATGATACGAAGCCAGCTGTCATAGAGTCAGCTGTCGACACTCTCCACATAGAATCATCGTGGAAGCCAGCGGGCACCCCAGATTTTCGAACGGCTGAGTCGAGCGTAGGAGAGGACTGAAAATAGTAAACATGAGAGATATTGCCTGCAGACTGTGAAAACGCTCTTTGTGGAGAGGCCAGCGTGGAGACGTCGAACACGTTGGCCCAACATGACGGCCGAAGGAAAGAGGGCGTCATGGTCCCTCTTATAAGGCGAAAAGATCAAATGACAGTTTCCAGACTATGTATCAGAAATGTACTAATGTCGCTTGTGCTAATCAAAAAGCGGGAACATTGCCCGACGGAATTAATCTTATGCAAAAACTGTGACGTGATAGGTAAAAAAAAATTAGTCCAAACTGCAGGTAAAGGCTCTTTAAACATGTCTGCTGTAGATATCTGACCCATAGCTACAGCGACCGCAAATTTTGAGATGGTTTATTTTCACGTTAGAACATGATAGAGATCATAACAGGAGTTGTAAAACCCTCTGCAGCATTTCGAAGTAATTCAGGGGCTGTGTACCGATTTATTTTAAGAAGCCATGAACTACGAAATTAACGCAGACTAGTTCGCAAAGTCTAGTTCCTTCCATCAACTGTTCATATCAAGCCATTAATGTTGCACGTATATATATATATATATATATATATATATATATGTGTATAAAATTTCTAGAAAACTTATCAGTAGATCAACAAAAGCATGTTGTTTTGTAATATTCATCACATACACCTTTGAGCTAGAGTTACAGCTGATAGAAATGTTTTCATTGCTCTAAACAGTTTTCATCATTTCATCCGGGTTGCAAAATATTTTTAAAGTTTCAACACTGAAGATGGGTATGACGGGCGAGAAAGAATTGAATTTGCGGCACTGACTTATCGTCGATGCCAAAAAGCTGATAAAGCAGCTTAAGGGATTTGTCCTTCGGACGGTGACGATTCTAGAGCTAAGCGATGTAAGCTCGCCTAGCCATTACTTATTTTTTTTTATAAACCTAAATCGGCTCAAGAGAGCCGTTGTAGAACTCGGAAAAGCTCAGTGAAATGCGTTCTTCAAATCGGAAAGGGCACGTCTGAACGTAACGAGTTACTTTTTTTTGGTAGTACTTTCAGCTATAGAAGCCCCGTCACATATTTTCAGAGTTGTGTCGACAGTTCTCTGATCCCGATACAAGACCGCTAATGAGTGCGGGAAAAGCTTTTTTGCCATCAGATCCTTCAAATTTAATTTTGCTCGGGCAACGTGCTCTGGCCCTAATAAAACAATGACAATGAAATAAAGGCACTTTCTAACGGCACATAATACCTGATCATTAGCAGCAAACGACATACAAAAGAAAAAAGGAGCAAACCAATAAGCGCCACTACGCTTCGAACAAGCTGATAATATTTGAGAAATATTGGAGATTGCCTGTGTGCTCTAGACCTCCTTAGCAAAAAGCTACACAATATGTTCTTTCAATAACGGAAAGCCCGGTATGAATATCTGGTTTTTAAACTAGTAAAACCACCCGGTAAAACTAGCGGCGATATAGAAAAAAAAAAAAAAAAAAAAAACAACTATGGTTCCTCGAAATTCTAATAGTTCAATCTAGTCACAAAAAATCTACGAGCCATTAATTAGGCCAAAAAACGGTTATAAACATCTAAGATAAATCGAACAATATGAATTCGTTTTCTGTGATGCTTAACTTCATTGTTATTATCATTGATATCGTTAATACGAATAGTCGCAAATAAACTATTAGTACTGCTATTTTTTCCAGATATAATTTGTTTATATCTGGCAAATGTGACGAAATGAGAAGACAAACAATCGATCTTTATTTTATCTGTGTTGTATCATTTTCTGCTAAGCAAAAGGGCCCACTGCTCTTTTTTCCTTCCGTTTTTGTTGCCAATGGCTCTTATTGCATTTAACGAATAGAAGTGCAGGGCCTTAATATGTGCACGACCATATGTGCCGCAACGTCAGCTTTTCAGGAAACCCCAAAATTTTGCTTTTGTTATTTTTAATAGTAACACGACAGTCGCTTTCTCAACCTGTTGTCGGGCTAATTGTTTTATTAGGATAAACTGTCTTTTTCAGGATAGGGGTCATATCATCGTTTGAGTATGTCTTAGGGGATCGAGAGATTCAATAGTAATAAATGACTGCAATCGCCCAGTAAATATTTCAAGTGAAAGTAAATGCATACAACGTGTTGAAAATACCCCCAGCCGTTCGGCCTGCTGCGATCGTCGTCCTACTGCTACAAATATCTCTGTAAAGGTGGGCCTCGAAGGGAATAGTTTGCCACAACGGAACATTCACCTTATCTACAGTCTTTCCTGCACTGCGGCACAGCTGGTCGTTCTGAAAAAGACTGCCTAGAAAGCTAATGCCTGAATATTTCAGAGGTGTCGTGATTGACCGGACGGAGTCTTTGGTAGTTTCAGTGAGAATGTAACCGGTTACACCTAGTAAAATGTTTTTCTCGTGGATTATCAATAATATTTTGCTTCCCTAAATGTACTACAATAGATATTATATAGAGATTGGTTGCGTTTCCGGCTTATGTCGACGGTCCGTTGGCATAAACGTTATTAAATCAGTAATTCAGTCATACGTAAAATAGAACTATCCAGCCGCCATTACCTAACATTCTCTTATACACGTAATCAAAATAGCTTGTCATCAAATACGACCCCGATCATTATTTTTGTGAAAAATCACAGAATTATCGCTACTTTTTTGCCAGTGTTCCGCATCGATTACTATAGTCTGAGACAGATTATTGTATGGAGTCGTGCACGATATTTTATGCCGTTGGGCTATAGGTCAAAATCTTACTATCAATAAGCCATCAAAGGTACCAAACACAGATTGTGCAGCTTTGTGTATTATTGACGGGACCGCAGGCAGCGATCCTAGTTTCTTTTACTGAGGGAATCTAACTGTTAATCGACCGTGTCTATATGAAACTATTTAAGTCTTAACCTTATTAGAAATGAGCGACGCTGCGAGAGATGTTCGATTAGAAACTCCGAATTTTTTTTTATCATCATTTTGGCTAGAAGCCACAATATAACTATTGGTGCAGCTATACAGTTACTGCTGTAACGATTGTGTGTTTACGTCGTGTATAATTTATGGCCTATGTTATTGACTCACTGGCGGACAGGATAATAACACATTTATTTTCCTAAAGGATCAAACGTGCGTGGCTAGATCCAAGGGGCAAACTTGTAAATAGCGCACGGCATCGCAGTGCATCTGTGGCCCCGTCAAAGTCTGCTCTTAAGCTCCTGATAGATTAAGCCAGCTTAGCTAATTCCTGAGAGAGGTTACAAGAAGGAAATGGGTATTAAAATTTGTTAACCCGTTTTATCGAGTTCTATGGGCATAAGCCACCTGAGTTTTGCCTTAATTTTGATATGGTTATAATGTCAAGAAAATACGTTGCTAAGCTCGTCCATAAACATGGGCAGGTATTAAAATTAAATGTTAATGACTAAAAAAATCGGACAGCACTGTGCTAAAGAATTGCAATGAATAACTGTTGTTAATTTATTTATAATATATAATTTCAATTAAATATTTTCAATAAGTATTTTTTTTAATTCAATTATTTGTTCATTTGAATCAAGCGAGGAACGTGCCCCTTGGTTGACTGAGAGGAAAGGAGAGAGCATTAAGGAAAGCAGTGTAAGGGATACGCTAACTAGAACAAAGAAATATCTTTCCGAGAACGTGACTGGACCCCTTTAATGTTAATTAGTCTATCACTCATTAGCAGTCTTACTATTTGTAGTATTGATATTGATATTGGTTTATTTTACAATCCAACTGGTTTCGGTCGCTTACATAGCTTCGCTCAGTTCTATATAGGCAAATGTACAGATGTGGATATTGAAGTAAGTAGCTACATTTCGATTACAAGCTTTATATGTATATATATATAGATATTCTATATGCGTTTGCTACGTAACTTCGAAAATGTAGAACTTTAACATTGAAGCTATATTCGGCAATTGAAATCACCCTAGATGTTTTTGTGTCTTTGAATTCTAGACTGTTAGATTAAAAATGTCTCCCCGTAGATTAATCACGACTTACTCGAACATATATTTAAAGACCATGTAATAAAATGTATTCGACAGAAAAACACCAACTTTAGATTCCTCAGCCATACACGTAATTTTAACAAAAAAAAAGATTTAAAAAACAAAAAAAAAAACTAAAAAACGATTTAAGTACACTTTTCGATGTCAGAAATTTATGCGGATTTCCTCTCGTTAAACTGTTACTTGCCTCGAGTTATATGCGCGATATAACCTTGCTAATGATACGACGTAAGCTGCCAAGATACATCTAAGTAGATCCTACCTGGGTATTATGGCTGTTATTGGGTAAAGACCGATTTTTTCTACCTACTCATTAACGCTAACTTTTCAGTCCACATTCAGTTGTGGGCCAACTATTTTTTTTATGTATAACTGAATTTAAATACTTCACAGAAATCTCAATTAGGAAAAATGTATTAATTGATTAAAGAGAAACAGTGCAAGGCTAGTTCCTATGACCTTTACGAACACTGAAGGTTCTCTTGAGAACATATATATAAGTAGCACTTAAAGCTGAGTTATCCAGAGGCCTCTGGAAAAAGCAAGTCATCATCATAAGCCAAAGGTAAACAGCAAGCGTCACCCAGTCATACAAATATTGGCATAGTAGAAGAAACTGAGGAAACCTAGTAAACGACTGTTGAAACAATGGATCTCACTTAAGTAGTAACTTAAGCTTGGTCACGCCGAATCTCTAGTTGAGTCGGTTGGGCGAAGTGAGTAAGTTGTGAACAAAGAGATTTGAAAATGTCAAATTGTAGGCCTAGGCCAATAGAGATGCCTGAAAACGTCTGCAGTTATGTATACTGCGACACCTGTTTGGTGTCTGATGTACGATGTTCAAAATTAAAAAACAGTCCAGCAATTAAAAAAAAAGCTAAGAAACGATCAATGACATATAGAATGTAAGAGACCCACAAATTGCTTTAA